ACATCACATTTGTCAATGACAGAACAGGAGCTGTGAGCCTCTAAATATAATTTGCAATTTTTGAATGGTTTTCAAAATAGTTTAAAATTGCTTCATCAGTTACTTATGTAAACAGTTTCTTGTCAATGGTGACTACCAAGAAATTGAAGAACTTGTCATTAAAATATCTTTTGTGTGTGTGTGTGTGCTGAGGAAGATTCACCCTGAGCTACCATCTGTTGTCAATATTCCTTTTTATTTGCTGAGGAAGATTCGCCCTGAGCTAACATCTGTTGCCAGCCTTCCTGTTTTGTATGTGGGTCACCGCCACAGCATGGCTGATGACTGTAGGTCCGTGCCTGGGAATCAATCCTGGGCTGCTGAAGCAGAGCATGCCAAACTAAACCACAAGGCCACTGGGGCTGGCCCCTAAAATATCTTGATCAAGAATTGCAGATAGCCATTTCAAGCATACAACTTCATATTAATAGTTATGTCTAGAAATCAAGATCAAGCTTCTCATTAATAAATTTGAAAAAAATGTATTTAGGAATCTTACACAAAATCAATATTTAAAATCTTCCCTAATACTTTGGGTTTTACTGATTTTAGTTTTTATATCACAGAAAGAAAATATTTTTTTCTACTAAGTTCCAAATAAACACTCAAAATACTCTCCATTTTCTATGTGCACCATGACATAAAAAAGCTGGGGCCTGGAATGGTGTAGAATGAGCCAGTCTGCAACACACACCACACTATCACATACACAAGGTTTCACAGTAAACCTAAGACAATTATTTACGTGCTGCATTAACATTCTAAGCAGAGGATAATGCTCTTGGCTCCTTTCCCTTTTAAAATTTAGTCATCAGAATTTATCACATGCACCACCACCACTACTGTTCCATCTCATAAAAAACCTGGAAGAAATGATTTGCAGGTCACATATGGTCTCCCTTTGCATGTTGGCAAGTCTTGTTCACCCCCTCCGTACCGCTGGCTCTGCAAACCCAAGCCTGTGACCGCTCCCCTCCGACAACCTCTCATCTTTCCACTTTGGGCCTGTCATACATCACGCTATCTTTCAACATACAGCGATGGCGCCTCATCTTGTAAGCAACGGAGAGGATCTCCGTCTTAACTTCTTCACATCCCATAGTTCTGGGTATACATTAAGCTCTTAGTGGTTATCACTAATTGCTAACACGCTGTTTGGGGAATCAAACATTAGAAAGGGATTGGGATCAACTAATTATTTGCTTTCTGACTTTAAGTGTAATACATATTCATTCTTGGAAATGTGAAAAATGAAGTATAAAGAACATCAAAATCACTCACAATTCTACTATTCATAAATACCACTTTCTATGTTTTTATCCCTTTCCTTCCTTTTTATGCACCTCTATGCATTATTTAAACTGCACTTTTTAAACACAAAATTTGAATCCTAGTAGAGTTGGTGTGTGCTTTTCCATTTAATATAACTGTAAAGTTCTCCCCATGTCATTAAGTAAATTATGGCACATCCAGATAATATTTTACAAAGGCTAAAATAATGTCTTAGAACAGTGTTTCTCAAATTTTAATGAGCATAAAATCACCTGGGATATCGTTCTGGTTATATAGGTTCTGGTTCAGTAGATCTGAGGTGGGTCCCAAGATTCTGTACTTCTAACCTCCCAGATGATGCCAATGCTGCTGGTGTTTGGACCACACTCTGAGCAGCAAGGGCTCAGGAGGTATGTGCACGCCATTAGTGATGAACACTGAAATCGTTTCCAACCTTTGGCTCGTGTGTGGTAAAACAACACATCAGTGGAGCAATAAGAATCCTTCCACACGACGTAGAATAATGCAAATATTTCTCGTGTATACTATGTAAGCATACAGGCACCAAGATTATTACAAATCAAATCACTTCATGAACGTCAATAGGTACCAGTATTTCCAGACTCTGGATGCACACAGCCAAAGGGCATTCAGTGTGACAGCAAGCAAATGGGTGGTCTCCAGGGAGCAGAGGGAGAGGCCGAGAGGGAGGGTGGCCGTGTTCATACCTTGATGATGGTGGCATTTTCAAGGATATTTTATACATATACATATATATACACGATCTATTAAAACTTATCAAAGTGTACACTTTAAATACATGCAGTTTATTGTCAATTCTACTTCAATAAAGCTATCTTTAAAAATATGGGGAGAAAGGCCACAAAGTGCCTTCCAGAAAGTTTCTATTCCCCAGCAGCTTACACAGATGCCTGCCTCGTTACACCTTTGCCAGCACCGTGATTCTTAAAGAAAAAAACACTGCTAATTTGAAAGGCAAAAATACCTCATCTGTGTCAATGTGCGTGCATTTGATACTAGCAGACTGAAATGTTTTCATGTTGATCAGCTCTTTGCTTATCTTTCTTTTCTAATGTTAGTGTTTCTTATCAATTTATATTGATAAGCTTTTTATTTAGATATTTGTCATTTCCCTCAGCTTGATGTTTACCTTTGTGTACACTTGATGTAATTATAATGTAAACATTAAATTCAAGAATCCAAAGAAAGCTCTTTAATCTTAACACTGCTCCAAACAAGCACAAACAAAAGTCAAGTCAGAATGCAGAATTAGACATAAAAACACCCCAGTCCTTTATAATCACCTACTCTCTTTCCCAGGTGGCCGACCTCTCAGCGTGGGACGTCAGAGGCAGGCCGCACAAGCCATCACATCAGCTTATTCCTTTCACAGTCCCCCTTTCAGCTGGCTAATATGGTAAAGTAGGTTCGGTTCATCCTATTTAAGATGGAGATAGTGAGACTAAAATATAAAATACTTTGTGACTTATCAAGGTCAGAATTTGCACATATAAACTCCCCCTTTTTATCTATTGACTTCCCTCATTGTGTGAGAAACGGGTCCATGAAATCAAACTGGGGTTGTGTGGTTTTGCTTGCGATTCAACTGAATAAAAACCAGAAAGGGAAAATATTTACATATTCTCCTGGAGTGGGGAGTAAATCTTTATATTAATAATCCTGAGAAGACATATTTATTACTTAAACCGTTTTCCTTCACTCTGTATCTTGAGTCTCACAGACCTTTTTAGACCACAGAGAAATGAAGAACACTAACACTAGGAACACTAGTAAAAGAGGAACGCCTTTCTATCTGCTCTATCAAACCAAGACGACTTCCCCAGAGGGCAGTCACAGGTATTCATCAATTTGTCCAACCCTTTGAATATGAGTGATAAGTAGCCACTAAAAGAAACAGATACATACTTAACATGTAAAGAATGAATCTTAGTTTCTTTAATAACAGAATATTTTCAATTCTTGCTCCGAAGCTTGTAAGGGTTAAATCACTTGGCCAAGTACACAAAACCAGATGAGCTCGTCTGGAACCAGAATCCTGGTTTCCTGAGACACCCAGAGTAGAGGATGAAATCACGTGGAAATCAGTGATGTGGCTGAGACGCCAGAAAATCTCATTCTTTGAGCCTTAACTTCCTCATCCACAAATGAAGGAGGGGAATGAAGTGACTGCTCAGTCTCCTTTCAGCTCTAACCTCCTCTAGACGCAGGCGGGGGCAGCTGATGAAACTCCGACGTGGTAGTCATACTGCCGGAGTGCTTTACTGCCACCCTGGGGCTCCTCACCTGCTCTTCTCAGAAGCCCACGTCAGCTCAGGTTCAGACTCGAGCCCTGCCCTACTCTCTGTGCAGCCCTGGCACATAGTTTATCCTCACATTAGAGACAAGGAATTGAGAATCACAGCAGCAGCTACAGCTCAGTGAAGACGAGGAAAGGAGAACGTGTGAATTCTCAGCAGCACCTGGCATGGAGTAAGATGTCCAGTAATTGCATGTCTGTATATTCGGTGTCTTAGTCCATCCGGGCTGGCATCAGCCAATACCATAGACGGGGTGAAGTGTAAACAAAGGAAATTGATTTCTCACAGTCCTGGAGACTGGAAGTCCAAGATCAAGGCTCTGGCAGACTTGGTGTCTGGTGAGGGCCCACTTCCTAGTTCATAGATGGTCATCTTCTCAGCATGTCCACACATGGCAGAGGTGACGAGGGAGCTCTCTGGGGTCCCTTTATTAAGAGCATTAATACCATTCATGAGGGCTCCACCCTCAGGACCTAATCATCTCCCAAAGCTCTGCCTCCAAATCCTATCACACTGGGGGTTAGGTTTCAAGTATGAATTCTGGGGGAACATGAACGTTCAGCCTCCTGCATGAGGGTAAACAACACCAACTGACATGGATGGCACTCAGGTTTCACAACTGAAACTCGTTGTATCCCCAGCGGGTCAAATACTAGGTAGGTGGGTGCACAGCAAACTTGAACAAAGGTTTCAACAAAAGAACAAACATAACTGAAAACCAGCCCTCAGGTCTGACTCACAGCACAGGTCAGCTATGTATTTAATTTAAAAGACTTCATGAAATGGTGAGAGGAGAAAAGGGAAGAAAGACAGAGAAAGGAATGTGCCTCAACAAGGCACAAGTTATGGTGTTAGCAGCCCCCAGCCTACCAGTTTCAATAAATCTGGACTCCTGGCCCTCTCCGTATCATCTCATCCATGTTCCTCCTAGTATGCCCATGAACCACCTCCACACAGAACGCCTGTTACAAACGCAGATGCCCGATCCTCGCCCATTTTTAACATGCTACCTCATTAATTCTTCCTCAGTCTAGAGTTCGAGAACCTGGTCCAACTGCTATGCGGCCAATGCTGGAAACCATGGTCAGTGCCAGCGTCCTCGAACAGCTCATAGCAAGGGTAGAAATGCGCAGATTCCAGACACAATGACTGCCCACACCACCTACTGCAGCCCACCACAACCAAGACACCAATGTTCAATGCATCAAAGCTGAAGAGAAAAAGTAAAACCCACAGCTCAAGAGTCTGTCAAATACCTGGGCACTAGAGGGAACAGGTATGGTTGGAAAAATGACCCTTCTGGAATTTTCTACGCATATTCTAAAATATGCCAGTAACAACATTTCTTCCATTCTTAAAATTATTTTTAATAGTGAACTAAGTAACACATTTTGTTATGGTGAGCAGTCAGGTGAATTTCACTGACAACTGAACTGCAGTCTTTATTAAAGTTATTTTTACAAATTTATGTCTCCTGATACGAAAAGGCTGCATTTTACTTTAACGTGTGCTTTGCAAATTTACATCAGCAGAGGGAAGGGGTTCAGCTGAATAGATTTCAGTCTTCAAAAATGTGACCGCATCCTTCATCTCCAGTTTTTCCATCTCCCAATTATTGACCTTACCAAAGAAAGAGGAAAATAATCAGTTTGCAAGAAGGTAATGACACATAAAAACTAGTTTCAAGTTCCCGCACATTAAAGCAGTATCAAGCCAACTGCTTTTTAAAAGCAAATGTTATCTTATAATTACTCATATTTTAAAGGCTTAGTAAGACTATGTGCTAGGGCTGAAGAAAGCTCTAACAGTGAAAATTATAAAAACTTTAAAGGTCCCCTAAAGGGTGCAAAAATCCCTTTCTTGGGATAATCTTCCTTAGAATATCTATAATAGCCAATAGGAAAAAAAGTCTTAAATAGTAGCCCATCAAGAGAAACGGGCCATCTTAACCTCAGTAACTGTGTGTAATCCATTTTTGGATACTGAAGTACAGAACGAAGGTCCGAATGTTTACACTTCACATTACGTGCAGGACTAAATGAGTGGCATTTAGATAGATCCCGACATTAACATAAATATAAATTTATTCACAAGGTTCTTGCTCCACAGAGAGACATCTGGGGAGGCTGTTCAGGAAAAGCTGTGGTGCTTGGAATCTAAATGAAGCATAAGCTAAGAGGGGAGAGGAACACCATCCAGCTTTTTCTGGGGACAAACATCCTCTAACAGCCTCACACTGGCCCATGAAAACGAAGCTTTAATTAACACCTTTTCTTCCCTTCTTCAAGACAACCTGGAAATTGAATATGGTTTCATGTGTCTTAAACTAAGTTAGAAAATATATTATTTACATTTTTCCTCTTAACAAAAAGGATTAAGTTGGCCAAATGCAGCACTCTAGTAAACCACAATAACCGGCTGAGGAGAAGTCAAATCACGTCCTGGAAATGTTCTGTTTCAAAGAAAACGATAACTAAAACACTTATTCCAACACGGTTGACAATTCCTCCACAGCCCTAGTGACCAAGCTCAGGCACCACATTCCTGGCGGAATGGACCTCGGTAACGGAAGAATATCTCATTTGCATTTTTTCCTTACCAAGATCACGTGAAAACCCATTCCTTTCAAATGCCGCATCTTCATAGCCAGGAATCCCTTGGGGTGAGTTGAATCCAAACAGTAAGCAGATCTAGGAACACACAGCACAGCTACTCTGGAAACAGAAACATACCCGTGAGACTAGTCGCTAACGCCATCACCATTCCCAAGCTCGCTGCACCCCCGTTCCTTGGAGACTGCCACTTAGAGCTTGCCACTGACCGCAGTCCTCATCACTCCCTATCACCTTAGTCCTTCACTTCCTTGCTACGTGGCCTCTGCAGACATGCAAGTATAAGAAGCTCCTAACGATGCTTTACAGTTATCCCTCACCCATCTTTAAGGATGGCTACATTCTTGATGAGGAAAATTTTCAGATATGAAAGTACCCATTTTAAGGCTTTCCTGTGTAGTGCTAATCTCTGATCTAAATATACTTATTTACACTTCTAGCAGAAGTAATGACGTAGAAATACCAAATGGTAAATGCTCTTCTTTTACATACTGTCTCCCAGAGAGAGAAGCATTTAAAAACCAGAATGGGGAGACCACATACAAAGAAGAAAACACTAAGAGAAAGGCAAGACTGTTAAAAAGATAAAATCTGTATGTGTAACAAAAATGTGGAAGGCATAATTTGCTTTTTCATTCTTCTTGGCATTTTGGAAAGATTAAGTTCATTGGGGAAAAAAAGACATTTGTATCTCTACTGTCTTCCTTTATACCCTGGCTGTTATCTGAGATAACATAAGAGAAATTTAATGTTTTTAAAGGAATGCTCAGATTCCTCACTTCTCAGTACTCTGCCTGAGCACTACTATGTTATATTATTATGCCTGAAAAAGAAAAATGATCTTTCAACAAGGTGCGAGAGAAGGTCGTTTTTTGAGGGGAGATGGGTCATGTATAGGGTAGACAGCAGTTGAAAAAGACGGCCAAGGCACAGATAGATGGGTTCAGAAAGGGGTAAAGTTATGGAGTTGTATGTGAAAGGAGAGGGATGGGCAGACAGGAGTCTGAGTCGCTAAAGATTTTGTCTGTATCTCTGTCTCCCGTATGTATGTGCATGTCCTATAAAGCAACAGGGGACATAAGTTCCTGGGGGTCTGACTCATCTGTGTGCCCCACAGGGCCTTAGCAGAGCCTTTCCACAAAGGCTGACTGGACACGGGGTGTGTGCAGCACAATCTGCCGCGTCTGCTTCAAAAGCAAGACTTCCCCTCAGGGGGCGGAATCACGTTCCTCCCAGAGACTCCATCTGCCGTGTGCGCGTCAAGGAAACAACTCACGACTAACTCCAATACACTTTGAGCCATATCCAACACAGCATCATTAAAAAGCTCAAGTTTCCCTACCTTTAGAAAGGTCTTGGTGTAGAGCAAAACATTTACTGGGTATTTGATTTTTGTAGAAGCCTTAATTCTTTATGGTCACTATGTCATTATCTTGTCCAAAGTTCACACTGCACGGATAGCTTAATGACGTGAACACTGTTTCACTGAACTGTTTAAGTTTAAAACCTAATTTTTAAAAATTGCCTATTTCATTAAATGGCCTAACTCCAGTGCACTGTCTTCCAGCACAGCGCACACGTCCACACCTACGGAGCAGACTGACGGGCGAGCAGTCTAATGGGGCACTGCAGGCACCACACAGATATAAGGGGTCAGTGTTGTGACAGCTGCTCAATGAGTCTCTGAGAATTAAGATTTGAGTTCAGAAGGCTCAGCAATGCATATAGGAAAGCAACCTTTGAACATCTGCAGCAGAAGTTACCACATCCACGCCAGAAAATGGAAGCACCTGCGTCCTGTTAGAATCCATTCTGATTTCAAAATCTGAAAAAAACGAATTGATATTAATTTTTCAAACTTTGCTCAAAGTGATTTTCTGCTTCAAAATATATCACATTATTACCAATAACGATAACGGCAGCAGCTAAGATACACTCAGCTCACCACGTACCAGACACTAGTCTGGACTCTACAGGTACAATCTCATTTCTGTGCCATGGAGCCCCATGAGGTGGGTGCTACCACAGGTGCCATTTGTCAGACACGGAAAGGGAGGTGGTCAGGCCTGGCCACAGCACCAGGAAGGGGAGAGCGAGCCTCCAAACCCGGCCGTCAGCTCCAGGCCCAACGCTGCACCACACTGAACTGCCGAGGCAGATGCTAATCCTTTGTCAGAAAAAAAGAAAATAAATAAAATAAGACAGAAGAAAATCATATGGAGTCCCATACCAATATGATAATTATGTGGCAACTGCACATTTTTTGAGAAGCATTCATCTCCCACAAGGCTACTCAGCACCTCTGCGACCTTGGCATCTGGACACAACAGTGCAGGCGGCAGCGGTGGCAACACCACATCCACAGCCTTGTGGTAAGGCGCATCATCGAGTTTCAGGCAAGCAGCCAAAATATGAAGCTTGTGAACATTCCTCTCCATGTCACCTAAAAAACAGGGAGAGCAAGAAATATACAGTTAAGAAAACATTACTGCCACATGTCAGACACTGTATTAATGAGCCTGTATTTCTGATCATCTGCTTCTGATCAGGAGGAATCTCTGTGTCTACAGCGACACCCAGCACTTGAGAATGTCTGAGGGGGTAAAAATCTCCCTCAAGGTGACTCAGCCTAAACTCTTCACTGAACAGATGAGGAACGCCCAGGAATGTTAAAACGCCTCATGATGAACTAATGGCAAAGCTGGGCCTGGAACCCAGGGCTCCCACAGCAGATGCTTGAAAAATCAGCACGTGGTGTTCCTTCTCCACAACTCAGAATTTCATAACTCTGTTTTTAAAAGAATTTAAACTACTCTATTCTCAGACACATCATCAAATTTTGTACATCTCGCCTGATACTGCTTTTCCTTGTTTAATATTAAAGACCAAAAGTCAACAATTAATTTGGCTCCAAGAGTAAATAAACTCACTCCTTTGGTAACTACTTGGTTTCCTGATCTCACAGGCTGGGCCCTCATCACAGGCCATAAGTGACAAAGTGTTTATAGCTGCAAAAGTTGACTGAACTTGGCTTCGAATGTGACTTGCAAGGATTAGGAAGTACAAACACCTCTGATCGAGGCATAAAGAACAGCTTGAACATTTAGTCCCTGCACAGGTGCACAAAGTACATAAAAGGAGTAGCTTCTTATTTCTTGTGTTCGACATGTAGCCTCTGTCATTACAGGGGGCTCCACAGGGTCGCTGGTCTGAAGCACTGACCTGACTTCACCACTGCCAGTCCTTTCCTCAGCAGCACCCGCTCTACACGCTTTAACTCACACTGCTCCAGCTAAGACCCCACTCGGAATACACGGCAGCCAGCGGTGCTGCCTTATCTCGGTCACCACTGGGCACTGACAACCTACCTGATGCCAGCAGCTCGCCGATGACGTCCTTTTGGAGAAGCTGATTAACAGGGGCCAGGGGAAAATGGTTCATCATGCAAAACGAACACACGGCATTCAACAGGTTTTCAGAAGAGAGGTGGTGAAGACAAGCAGTCAGAGCACTAGCCATAACTTCTAGGAACCTTCAGGGGAACAAGGAGGAGTCAGCTTTCAAATATAAACAGAAGACAACGTCATGGCAGGGCTAGGGAGGTAGCACAGAACCAAGGCTTTAAGGAGCACAAAGAAAAGAAATAAGAAAATCAGTCATGCAATAAGCATTCACACATCTTTCGGGTTAGGTGGCTATTGTGTAATAATATACTCACTCAATAAATGTTAGCTACTGCTTTATGTCTTGCATAGGGCAAATGTTTTACAGGCTTTAACTCGTTTAATTCTTGTTAAAACTCTACGGGGTAGAAATTATTATCCTCATACTAAAGATGAGTAAACAGGCTCAGAGAGCTCATTAACTTGTCCAAGAACACTCAGCCAGGAAGCACAGAGTGGAACCCAAGTTGTCAAGCTCCAGAGCCTTTTACCCATTACGCTCGATTTTATCATGGGTACATCCACAAGGCCTGGAACACCGCTGCAGTTTATAACCAATGAAAACTCTCTAGCTATCAGTACTCTGAGTTAAGAGAATGGCGAGCCACTCCTCCTCCCAGAGCTGATGTGATGTGGTGCCATACAGCAGTCGGCACAGACGGGAGAGAGGAAAGGGCAAAGCTAGGGGAGCTCACTTGCCCAGGGTGACTCTGCTAATAAATGGCCCATACGCCCTCTGACCCCAGGTCAGTCTGACTCTTAGGCGTAAGCTACACATCATTATGTAAGAAAGAAAGGAACTACATGTGAAGTACTGTGTGAGCGCACAGGAAAGAAGGCAGACAGCAGCTGTGGGACTAGGAGAATCTCAGTAAGTGGAAAAGACGAGAAAAGGCATTTGAATTGAGCCAAGAAAGGAGCCCACAGAGTGCAAGCTCTTTGTAGCTAGTGAGACTGAGGCACCGACCCCTGCTTCCTACAGCAGGGCAAGCGTGCCAAGTCACAGAGAGGCTGTAGGGAAAACGTCTGAGACGCACTTCGAGGTCCTGCGGGTAGGAGCAGCCGGGCGCGGCAGGGAGTGAGGGCGGCCGTGGAGGCTAAGCAGGGCTGCAGGAGCTACAACAGGACGGGAACAACATTAAGGCCCTAGAGACCACAGTGAGGCAGTACTTACTAAACTGAGGCAGTACTCACTAAACTGAGGCAGTACTCACTAAACTGAGAACCGACTGAATGTGGAGGACGCAGCAAGGAAGGGCAGGGCCACAGAGGACTAAGTTTGGGGCCTGGGGGGTCTTCACCTCTCCCATCTTCTCATCCCACTCCTTAAGCCCAACCTTATGCTTCAGCAACTCCAAACTACCAGTCATTCCCTGCACAGGCTCGGCTGTTTCTTCCCTCCCTAACCTGAATACGGAGTCCCTCCCACTCAGAATGTTCTTTCCTGCTTACCTTCCCGTGGTTAACTCTCCATCTATCCATCTCTTAAGATCTGCTCAGGGACCACCTCCTCCAGGCAGCAGTGCTTGCATCCATCGGGAGGCTCCACTTCTCCAGGCTAGCGTCCTGGCACGTCCCTCCTCTATTCCACACAGCCTATTTACATCTCTATCACGCCAATTTTTGTGCTATATTTAATTGCCAATTTATGTGTCTACCTCACCCATTACACAGAATCCTCTGGCAAAAACGACTGTGTCTTATTTATCTTTGTGCTAAGTACTCGAGTGCTTGGTACACATTTTCTGTACAAATCAACTTAAGTGAGGAGAAATGAGAAGAATGTTAGTGGAAAAGGATGAGTCAAGGATAAAGAGCCAGGGGCCGGCCCGGTGGCGCAAGTGGGTAAGTGCGCCTGCTCCACTGCGGCGGCCCAGGGGTTCGCCGGTTCAGATCCCGGGCGCACACTGACGCACCACTTGGTAAGCCATGCTGTGGCAGGCGTCCCATATAAAGTGGAGGAAGATGGGCATGGATGTTAGCTCAGGGCCAGTCTCCCTCAGCAAAAAAAGAGGAGGATTGGCAGATGTTAGCTCAGGGCTGATCTTCCTCACACACACACACACACAAAAAAAAGAATAAAGAGCCAAAAACTAACCAATTTGTATACATTAAACATGTACAGCTTTTTACATGTTAATCATACCTCAGTAAAGTGATTAAAAAAATAATTCACTTTGAATGGTGTTTGGTAAATACTAAATAACTGACAAGAGAACAAGAAGAAGAAGAATGAGCTGACTTTCAGAACTGCTGAACTTGAGATACTTGCGAGGTCTACAGTGACCACAGGCAACCCACAGGAGTTCTGGAGCTCAGGAGCACACTCGTGACCAGAGGTGCAAATCTGGGGTTACCTAGAGGGCGAAGTACAGATCAAGGAGAAGAAACCAAAGGACTGAAATAAAGTCTAAATGTCAAATGTTTTCTTCCTTGGGTTTCAAGCCCAGGAAGATACTCTGGATTTCACACGCCCTCTCTCCCAGAGGCCATCACATAAATAAAATGACCACCGTACAGCATATGGACATAAAATGTGCTAAGCCAAATTTTCTCCCACTCTCCTACCTAATCCATCTCTTCTAGTCAACTCACCTCCCAAATGCTTTCAGTTATCCTACCTCCAAAACCTTTGCCATTCCAGTCGAAGACGCCATCTTCCTCTCTCCTCCTCCCTAGAGCACTCACTGGTACCTACCATTTACTGCCTTCCTCTGGATGTGCAAGACTCGCCTCCTTAACTGGACTAGCAAGGAGAGGGAACACAAACTTCTTTTCGATAGTCCTCAGAATACCAAATTCAGGCAACTGCACACTCATGGGCATCCAGGAAATTCTGACTGACTGATCTTGATCTAACCACACTCTCACTGCCCCCTTTTCTCCAAAGGAGAAATGTTGAGGTGGGCAGGTAAGGGGTAGGCCAGGTTTCTCAATCTCAGCACTACTGACATTTTGGGCTGGACAATTCTTTGTGGCGGGGCTGTCCTGTGCACAGCAGGACGTTACCAGCATCCCTCACCGCGACCCACTAGTCCTCTTCACCCCACTCTCCCCGGCATGAAAACTGACGTTTCCAGATAGTGCCACACGTCCCCTGGGAGGCAAAATCGCCCCCAGCTGAGAACCAGTGGGTTGGCTGAAAGCAGAGAAGACAGACACAAGCAAATGTTCATAATCCCCCCATACAATTCTGCTCCTCGTGTGTTTTATTGAATTCCCAACCTTTATGGGACTAGTTAGGGTTACTTTTGTTATCCCCCTCTACTTCCAGTATAACAATCTTACTGGACCAAGTTATCTCTTGGGAGGCCTACAGTCAGCTGAAAAACTCCCTAACCACAAAGGTTTGTTCTCCTAATCCCATGGAATGCACGGGGCTGTTTCTGAAGTTTTCATTACCACTCAGCTTGACAATATTTGTCAAGAAAGTGTAGGAGGTTATGGGGCCCAATCTCATAAGAAAACCAAGCCAGGAGAGCAGAGAAAGGTGGAATCTGGGGGATGCTCTGCAACCTTTATTAAGTGCCTATTCTGTGCCAGGCCCCATGCTAAGTGCAGAATAATAGGAACCTGGGTCTGACTTTGGAGAGCTTTCCAAGTGAGGAGCAGACAGGCTCACTGACAAATAATCACAACCGTGTGTTGAGGCCCCACCAGAGATCTGTACTGGACACGACAAACACAGGGGCTCTGACGGAGACAGCTGGGGAGGGCACAGGAGCTGCAGAAGAGCGGGGTCTCTCAGGGCGATGGAGAGGACAGTGGGCAGTTGCCTTGTGGTTGGCTCAGCACCACTACCTGCCCAAAGGGATGGGCATGTGACCCAAACTTGGTCAATCAGATTTTCTCTTTTGGAAATCTGAACCTTGAGGATAAACCACAGGGACAAAAAGCAGCTGGAGTCAAGTCACTTGATGGCAAAGGGACGGCCAGTGAATCTTGCCACTGAGACCCTCAGAACTGCCCCAGTTTGTTCCTCCAAGGCCTCTGTGGAGGAGGCCTAATGAGAAATTTTTTTTTCAATCTAACAATTTTTTTTAACCTAACAATTACTGTGTGCCAGGCACTGTTTTAAGAACCTGACCTAGGTCAACTCATTTAATCCTCGTAACAACCCAATGTTATTAGAAATGACTCATTTCTTATCCCCACTTTAATAGAGGAAGAAAGTAAGGCACAGATAAGTAACTTAAAAAAGTTAAGTAGCTAATGAATGACACAGCTGGGATCCAAACCTAAGCAAGACATCTCCAGAGCCCAGGCTTCTCATCACTCTCTAACCAAGGACATCAGATGTGCATTTGTGGTCTTTACTGAACACTGACTGACCTAGAGAGGAAGAAAAGATGTTCCGAGTGGGAAGCAGAGGTACGAAAGAGCCTAGCACATGTGAGGAATTGCTGCATTTAATAGCAGAAATGCACAGTGGTGGTTAAAAATGAAAAGAATAGCAAGCAGTAGTTTGGGACCAAATGCATAGTTGGGGTGAAAACTGAACTATGAACTCAGGACCTGAGGGAACAAGCTGGGAGAGTCTGAAATGAAGACTCCTACACTGAATTAACAAATATATCATAAGAACAAAGAAACAAACAAGACAAAGAATAGCAAAAATAAAACACAATGAAATTCTGTTTAGCTTCATAAATAAGGAATACTATGTTTTCGGTCTTGACATGGAGATGGCCATGGATGTGTTCACCTGTAGTAATCCACTGAGCTTATGATGACTTGTAATCTTTTCTATAAGTATGCTATGTGGCAATAAAAAAGGAAAAAAGAACAAGTACATACTCTTGGTTCTGACGTTTGCAGAAGTGGTTGAGAGAAGAATACACATGCAGAATGGAGACAACGTTTTTCACGTTCAGGAAGCCAGGCTCATCTACTACGTTTTTCATGAACAAGTCCATCAGGCCAGGATGTCGGAAGCCAAGGTTTTCAAATAAAATGAGGAGGAGGAGAACCTTAAAAAAAAAGTGAATTGAGGGAAAACTTTTTAATAATTACAGAATGATAGAAGTAATTCTTTAGATCTCAAAAAATTTAAACAGCAATAGAATTGTCCTGATTGAGAGAATATTCCATAAAAAGGAACAATTATCTTGTCCTCACAAAATCTGTTCCAGTAATTCTTGAATCAGGTATTAAGTTAATACGTGACTTTTCATAAGCTGAGAACCAGGGCATACAATGGTTTCCATATTTCCATTTCATTTAAAAATAAATCCTTTCCAGGGCCAGCCTGATGGCATAGCGGTTAAGTTCGTGCACTCCACTTCAGCGGTCCAGGGTTCGCAGGTACGAATCCCAGGCTCGGACCTACGCACTGCTTATCAAGCCATGCTGTGGCAGCGTCCCACATAAAGTAGAGGAAGATGGGTACGGATGTTAGCCCAGGGCTAATCTTCCTCAGCAAAAAGAGGAGGATTGGCAACAGATGTTAGCTCAGGGCTAATCTTCCTCAAAAAAATAAATAAAACAAAAAAAATAAAAATAAATAAATCCTTTCCTACATGCTTTTCAGACAACGGATCTGAAAACTACTTTAAATATACCTTCTCTGAGCTTTTCCAAAACGACCGACTCAATTTTAAACTGCTCCCCTTTCCAAACCCAGACACGTCATAGATTCTAATATATCAGAGAGAACTCAAAAATTTCTATATTCCATAGAAATTTCTATATATGAGAAGAAAGATGAAATACTATGACTAAATTAAAATTCCTGGCTCTCCTCTCATTTCCTTTTTGGTCCTTCTCATAATTAGTACTTCCCTTTCCAAAATCAACCTCCATGGCAAACTCAATATTTACCTTACCCTTCAAAGTAAACCGAACCTAGTGATCTAACACAGTTACCACTACTTCACTGCAACAAGAAGTTTTTACCAGCTGCTTTTAGATGTTTACATACTAACACAGCCCCTGAATTTAAAGGCTCTTACTCTGGAGGAAACAAGCAAACTTTCCATAAATAGAAAATAGACACGATCACTAAGTAACGACATTTAATTCTTCAAAAAGCATAACCTTGTCACATCACCCACCCATCTTTAGTATTCTAAATCTAACAAAGAAAAAGGAGAAAGAAACAATCCTAATTATTCAGAGTACCATACAACCTTTTGAAAAAACAAACAGAAGAGCAAACTTTGGACACTATAATTTTTATTTCACATAGAAAGATGGTCAAAAGGTTGAAAAGTATAGTACAGGTAACTCCCCGACAGAAATGATAAGGAGCTAATGTCTCAAAAGTCAATTTAGTACCTGAATATTTTGGTATCTTAACTGCTATAAAGCTATAGAGAAATACTTCGAATGCTAAATGAATTAATATGCTTCTGAAAAGTTTCTGAGGCTTATTCTAAACTGCTAACGCACTTACTTGTTTCAACTTCCAGATGTCAAATGTTGTAGCCACATAATCTGCTATTCCCTTGAAAAGATCTAAATTACGGTACCGGAGGTCTCTGCAAGACTGCAATATGTTGATCAATACTTTAAGAGGACACCCATGGATATTACCTTTAAGAATGAGTTAGACAAACAAAAATTACCAGGTGGTTTTGAATTAAGATCCAAGATACTCTATACTCAATACTATTGTTTCTTTAGGAAAAAACAGCAATGTATTTTGTTAAAAAACTAAAGGCAAAAATAAAATCTAAGATCTAACCATATCATCAGATATTTTTCATATAACAGCAAAGTTTTTAAAACAAGCAAAACAAACATAGTCCAGAACAGTAGGTCAGACGCTAAAAATCATGTAAGAAAAGTTCCCCTTACCTAAGACCATCCTGCTGCATTCATTCAGAAGTACCACGGAACGGTGATTCATGGCGGCCAGCACCTCAAACATGCGCTGGCTATTTAAAAAAGAAAATCTGTCTAATTCCCTCAAGGCTTTCATCTAAAGAAAACAAATTTAATTTATCATTTGTGGAAAAATAAATGAAACTTTTATTTTTAAATAAAAAGGATAAAGTTCAAGCAAAATAACTCAAACAGATATACAGATGAAATATATATATATTTATATAGACAGATAAATATTCATCTACTGCTATTATCTCACTTCAGCAAAGTTAAACCCAAAAGCACAACAATGCCCTCCTAAAAAACTGACTTCAGGAAGTGACAGCAGGTCACAAGGAGCATTTTTTTCAAATCTCACCACTAGAGAAAATTCAGGTCTTTACCTCCAGCTTCCTTTTAAGAGTAACTGGTGCATCTTTTCCAACACATTTCATCACAGCTTGTAATGTAAAGACACGTTCTATTTTCCAAACTTGCTGATCAACTAGTATCCTGTAATCAAACACAATAAATACCACAATCCTAGAATCTTAACCAGAAGAGAAATCTTAAAAGTCATTTGGCCCAGCTTCTACTTCTACACAAAGAATAGGAAGCCCATAGAAATGATCTACCTGCCCAACTGAGGAAGTAGTCAGTGAAAGATCCGGGACCCGTCTACCACTATTTCCTCTGACACTATTCTGCCATCTTTATGAATGAACAAATTGTATCAGGAGATTACAGTAAGACATCTCAAAGCATAGTCAATGAAAAAGGGAATTAAATATTATTCTCACTTACCTAAGACATTACAACAGTTGCATCAATTTCATAAATTATAAAACTCAATTATAAACTATATAAATTACAAAACTTTTCAAGCCAGGCCAGTGTCATGTAAGCTCCACACGGTGCACAAATAACCATTATGAACTGAATACACGTCACTTCTCCCCCAGCCCACATCAGAACGACATTTTAAGGTCAATTTAGATTTCAAAGTCACCCACAGCTTTTATGGCGGACCCTAAAAGAAGCATTATTTCCAGATTTACCTAATCCAGAGTCGGGATTCTAAGTTTAATAAGGTATTAAAGATTATAACTTCCAACAAAGTCTCCCTCCACCCAAAACAAGCAGCTCAGCTTGCATTTTGGGTTTTGAGATGAGATATGAGGAACAGAGCATGCCACATGAAGAAAGCACACAAGCTCTCACCGCAATCCTGCATGAAGAGCGTCCACATTCTTGCATGGCTCCATGGTTTGTAGAACAGTTGACAAAACTGAAAGACATTTCTCATCACACTCATTGATACGCTCCTATTGAAACATAATTACAGAAACACTACAGGTGATGAGCCATAGTTGACTGGTTCACCCAAGCAAAACCACTGAACCAAGGCTTTCAGTTAAAGGATTAAGTATGGAACCAATAACTCATACAGAGTCAGTCCACAATAAACAGCATCTTTGGGAAATAAAATGTCATATGTAGTGAATTTTCCAAATAACCAATACACACTTCTACGCATCAATACTTTTTACATTTACCATTATCACTGAAAATCCATTTGACATTGATTATATTCCTCTGCTTCTGAAATAACTTTGTGTGTGTGTGTGTGTGTGTGTGTGTGTGTGTGAGGAAAATCAGCCCTGAGCTACCATCCGTTGCCAATCCTCTTTTTTTGCTGAGGAAGATTGGCCCTGGGCTAACATCTGTGCCCATCTTCCTCTACTTTATACGGGATGCCACCACAGCATGGCTTGACAAGCGGTGCGTTGGTGCGCACCCGGGATCCGAACCTGCGAACCCTGGGCCCCCAAAGTGGAGCACACACTTAACCGCTTGTGCCACTGGGCTGCCCCCCTGAAATCTTTTATCAAACATAATTTCTACCTCTTCTTAGGATTCAAGGTCATCATGAAGACAACAAGTGCAGCAATATAAAAGGCACTCAGGCACACAGGGCAGCTTGCCCTGAAGACCCTCAGACAGCTGCACCCTCATAATTTCTCTGCATCCCTTCCTGGGTGTCAAACTCTAACATCAGCTGTGAACCTTCTGATCCACATCTGCTGTCACATGTTACCACCACTATCTGGGTCTCAAGGGGAGCCCCAGGTCCCAGATCCTTCTTCCAGGTCCCTTGGTTTAGGGTACTAATTCAGATGCCAGAAATGGCAGTGGGCATAATTTGGAAAGTGAACAGCAACAACGCAGCTTACCGAGAGCTCTACAATTGAATCACAACTAGTCCATACACCTCACAAGAGTAGCTGTGATTGCATCTGAGGAAACAGGCCGAAGAGGAAGGCGCTTTTGCTACAATTACATGACTAACAAGGCACAGAGTTTCAAGTCAGAACCAGATAATGATGAGAAATGGATAAGGCTGGAAGAAGAAAAAGTCTCATTCCCATGGGAGGGTTTCCGTAATAATTTACAAGATTCCATCCATATCTGCTGTGAAAGGAAAGACCATGTGGCCCTGTGTTTGAATGGCAAACTCACTGATGACATCCTGACCTTTCACCTCTAGCTAGAGCCTTTACAACATTCCAACAGCTCAGGGGGACAATCAAACACACAGATATCGGGACTCCAAATATCCACTGCTCAGGCCTCACCGATGCAGGAGCTATGCTGATGTGAGTACCGGTCCAAAATCTAGTCAGAGCACCCCTGACCAAGTAAAGTGACTTACTGTTCTCACTTTTTAATAACTATATAGGGAACACAGTCTACCAAATAAACATGGATATTGTGTGGTTTAAACACACACACACACACACACAAAATAAAAATCAGTTCTTGGTTGAGGACTTATGGAAATCACAGTCATGTAAAAAGTTAATGTTAAAACTTCTCTTATACCTATGAACCCAATTCTTGAATTCTATAGTAGGACAGGATACATATCAGATCATCCTCAGGAAATTCCTGTCTTTTTAAAAATTATTTAATTATGATATCATTGAGTTTAGAAGTCTGAGGTGTCCACTCTTAAAAGGCAAATAATTACTTTAATGAGCTATCTTTTCCTCATCATATCTGGTGTCATTTCAGTGACATCAAACAGGACACTGACTCCCTTGTTCGAAACTAAAAGTGGCTCCTTCACCCAACGTTATCCTTCTTCCAATGCATTTTCCACTCATACAGTGATCTAAAAACACAAACTCTGAGCATGTTGACCCTTTGCTTAAAATACTTTAGTGGATCCCCACTGCCTATAGAATAAATCCAAACTCCTTAGCCAGGCAGAAAAGGCTTTGATTTGGCCCCTTTTTTTTTCCAGCCTCATGTCTTGCCACTACACCCTAAACCCCTCCTCCTTGAACACCACAAACACAACTTCCTCCCCACTCCCTCACACACAACCCCAACATTCTGTACTTCAGCCACACAGAACTACTTTCAGCTCCCCAAACTTGCCAACTTTCACTCTGGGATGTACATGCAACCTTCTCTGCTTGAAACACCATCCCCTTGGCTATCGATTCTCTCACAAACTGCTGGTCATTCCTTGGATTCAGCTTAGACATCATCTCCCACTGGGCTTGACCCCTAGTTCTGCCATGGACTAGGTGCTGTTCCTTCACTCAGCAAGTATTTATCAAGAACCTACAAACGGTGACATTAACAGTTATGTGACCTTGGGCAAGTTACTTAACCTAAGCCTAAACTTCCTAATCATTACTAAGATGAGAGTAACAACACCTATTTTAAAAGGCTAAACTGAGGATTACAGGATTCAAACTCTGCATATATCTCTGCGTCAAACACTAACCCTGTATCCTCCTCCCTGTCTCCTCTTCCCATCATGAAGGTCTTCTCCTGACTAGGTGGGAAGCCCATTACACACTCTCATAACACTCTATACTTTCAGGGGCCGCCCAGTGGCCTAGTGGTTAAGTTCACGTGCTCTACTTCGGAGGTCCGAGGTGCACGGTTTGGATTCCTGGGATGGACCTATACACGGCTCATCAAGCCATGCTGTGGCGGCGCCCCACATACAAAATGGAGGAAGACTGGCACAGATGTTAGCTCAGTGACAATTTTCCTCAAGTAAAAAGAGAAGGATTGGCAACAGATATTAACTCAGGGCCAATATTTTTCTTTCATTGCCCTGAAAGCTCTATGTGGCCATTATTTTGTTCACAATTGTATTCCCTTATGCTCAGCAGTGCCTATAATATAGAAAATGCATAACTCATTAAAGGAATGTTGCTTATTTTTGCAATTGCATACAAAATATCTACCTTCCCCTCTAGACTATAAGGGCAGTAATCATGTCTTCTATATCTTTATATCCCCAATGACAAGTGCAGTAACTGATACACAGTTGACACCCAGTAACTGTTTACTACACAAATAAACGAATCCACTGGCTGTGTGACTTTAGCCAAGTTACTTAAAGTCACTAAGTCTGTTTCCTCATCTGCAAAACTGAGGTAACATCAACCTCACAGGGCTGTTGAGAGGATTAAACAAGATTATGAAAGTCAAAGGTGGAGGTAGTCAACAAACGTTCGTTCCCTTCCCTTCTCTCCTTCCTTCACCTACCCAATCTTTCCTTGTATATTTTGTCTCTCTCATTTTAGCTTATTACTTACTATTTTCAACTCTGGAGAAGAAAAATGGGGCAAGCTTTCATAAATTTCCATTGTAAAAGGAAGGAACGACCTAGCTCACTTAAGGTCTTCAAACCATATATATGCAAAAACAAATACACAGGACACTATCACTCCACTGACAGTCTCTTCCAAGGAGGCTACATCTCTTTGCCCTCACTCTTTCAAGATACCCTACACCAAACCAAGTAAAAGGCTGTTAAGTCTCCCTTTGTTTTTACCTGGACCACTCTCAGCAAAGTCTGTACCAGCAGAGTGTTCTGAGGAATTCCAAGCTTCACCACAGCATGAAGACTGAACAGCAGGTGGTCACAGTGCATGATCTTGGCTTCTCTCATCACTTGTTCACACAGCTGTTCAAACGCTGGGTGGTTAAACATCAGTTGTTTTTCAAAGTACCTCTGGTCATTGGACATCCTTTTGGCAATTGTCCACATTGCTGAGAAATAGTTACTACTAGGAAATGTAGGTGCTTTGGAAAATGTATCCAACACATCACTCAGAGAATTACACTCCTGAGACAGTTTTCTAGAGTTGACAGGGGTTGGTTTTGTTTCCTTGGTGAGAACATCTTCACTGGAGGCCTCATGATGAAAGTCTGTCTTCTTCAACTCATTATCAGAGTCAAGGGAGTGTTTAGAGTCAAAAGACAGTCTTCTAGGACAAAGCACTCTGTCAAGGGTAAGCACTGTCACAGTCCTTACGCCCTTTGTTTGAAAGTCATCTCCTGATTTAAAAATTAAGGCATTCTGAAAGAGACATCTAACAGACGCTTGCAGTCTATTATCAAAGTTATTTAAGAGAAGGTTTCTTGGGTTCCAGTTTGAATAAGCAATTTTTGGTCTGCAAAATCCCAAAGGACACAGCCTCACAGTTCTGCTGGTTGGAACTAAAGTACTGAATTGCCAGAGGTTCCACAAAAATGAACCTGTTCTGTTACTCATTTTGCTATCCACTGAAACACCGCCAAACGGCTTTCAAGTTGTCAATATGACACAAACGTGGCTTCTACGAGTGAAAGAGAACACATGCCGTCGTCTTCCTGTGGGGGAAGCGGTTAGGAAAGGAATAAAAATCAAAGCAAAACTTTTACTTAAAGAAAGGAAATGCGTTTAACAGAGACTAAACTGGGAACCCACGGAGACATTCAAGATTTACCTGAAAACGGTAAAACTACTGCACCAGTGAGGGCGTCCTCCACTTCTGCCACAACGTGCACACGGCCTCAAAGGAGCAGGTTACGCCGCAAGTTGCCGTTGTATAAAGGAGCTTAAAAAGGAAAAAAAAAGAAGGGGATTTTTGGTTGAAAAGTGTTCCCACAGAGCTCCTCCGCAGAAACGGATTCTAGCATCGCCTTGGAGACGTGTTCAAGGAAAATTAAGGGTTTAACGTCGATGGAGACTTTCTAACACGAGGATTTCGCACCGGCTGAACCCGGACGATGAAGAACAGGGACTTGGACAAGGAGACCGGCTCAGGAGAGGCGGCAGCAAACTAAGGCGACGCCGGCCTGTGCCCGCGCCGGGAGGGAGACAACCGCCAGCGTCCCTGGGTCTCCACAGCGCCAGGAGCCCGTCCTTCCGGAGCGGGGCCCCCGGTACCACGCCACCTCCCTAAACCAACGCCAGCAACTCCCGGGACCGGACCCCGGAAAGCAAGGAGTCTAAGAGGCAGTACCGCCAAGGCTCCGCCTGTGCCCGTCCTCCACTCACTCTAGGCCGGGACCCCGTGGTTACCAGCAGGCGCCGCCATGACAGCGTCCCCGCAGCTGCGCGTATCGCGAGATCGTACGGATCCTTCATAGGTCAAAAAGCCTACGTTCGCCGCGGGTGGAGAAGGGCTGTTTCAGAGAGGAGAGAGCCCACCTAAGAGGGTGACTCGTTTTCGTAGCTGCAGGGATAGGAACGGGGCAGACCGCAGAGGTTTTAAATGCAACGTATGATCATGTATCCCCACACTGGGCGCCGCTGGGCTCAGCCTCAGTGCGCCTGCGCCAGCCCTCCGCGGCGGGGTTGCTAGGAAACCGCGGTCCCGGCGGCGGCGGCGGCGGCGGCGGCGTCCCCATGGCCAAGTTCGTGCTCGCGGGTGAGTGGCCGCGCCCGCTCGCCGCCCGCGCACTGCCCCTGGTCCCGTGCTGGCGACTCGGGCCCCTGTGTGGGCCACCGCAGGCTTGCCGAAGCGTTCACTGCGCAGTGACCGTCTGCCAGGCTGCGGACAGGGGGTACGGTGGGGGAGAGACGTCCCTGCCCTCCAGGAGCTTCCAGTCTCGGGGGTACAGGAGCATGTGAACAAGCAGTTTTGCTCCGGTGTGATTAATGCAATGAAGGAAACGTGCACAGGGATCCGGGAGGTGTTACAGGGCTGCTCTGTGAAGGTTTGGGAGAGGGAGGCCATTCTAGATAAAGGCGCAGAGCCTAGAAGTCTCACGGCCTAACGGAGGAGCTGGAGACGGAGGAACGGGCTGGAACGGGAGCCTGAGCCAGATCCTTGCGCCTCAAGTGCACTGAGTAAAGGTGTTGAACTGTGTCTTGAAAGCAATGAGGAGTCACTGACAAATTTTAAGCCGGAGAGTATCCTTATTGGGCTTGCGTTTTAGGAAGCCCACCTTGTCAGCAATGGAGGGGAAGGATTGGAAATGCGACTGGCATCCAGAACGCCACTGAAGAGGCTTTTACTGCAACGGGCTATTTATTGCACTTGCCTCCTTCCCTTCTCAGCAAGTTTCTTAAAAGAGTAGACTGCTCTTCTGTCTGCAGGTCCTCTTTCCACTCTGTCTGGCTTCTACTTCTGCCTTCTTACAGAAACGGCCCTCACCGGAGTCACCAAGGACTCACAGAAGCTGTCCAGTCCTGTCTTATTTGACCTCTTTGATGCATTAACACAATTAACATCTCCCATCTGCCTGAAGATCCATTTCCTTTGCTTCTTTATTCATTCAGAAGAATATTTTTGAGCACTGACTGTGCTAGGAAGACAGACAAAGAATGTTGCGTTTGTGGCAGGGGCCGGGCAGGGTTCTATAGGAGCAGTGGCCGTGGCGGGGGACCTTATTTAGTCAGGCAAGGCTTCCCAGAGCGAGTGATGTTTAAGCAGAGACCTGACAAGTGAGAAAGAGTTGGCTAGTGAAAAGGAGGTAGGAAGGAGGAGAGTGATTGGGCAGGGGGGCTGTGGCTGCAGTGAGGAGAGCTGGTTTGGTGATGGTTGAGAGTCTACAATAAGCAGGAAGTGGAAAGGTTTAGTAGGATTGGAGCAAAGAGTACAAGGAAGAGCATTTCGTAGGCTGAGGCCAGAGTCAAATGATGGAGATTCTCGTGAGCCATGTTCAGTCCTTTAAACTTTGGTATCCAAAGTACATGGAAGGTTTTTGGAAGGAGAGAACATAATTGAATTCGCATTTTATCTGAGCGTTATCTCTGCAGTGTGGGAAGAGGAAGAGTGGATGCCAAGAGCCCTGTTAGGTGCATAGTCCGGGAAGGAGATAATGGAGGCCTGGCCTAGGATCGCAGGCAATGGAAATGGAAAGAAGTGAGTGGGCTGGAGAGACATTAGTAAGGCAGAATCTATAGAACTAGATGTCTGGTTGGGTGGAGGAATGCAATTAAGGGAGAAGAAAGAGTTAAAATTATTCCCGAACAATGGTGTGGATAACTGGATAGATGAAGAGTCATTGGAAAAAAAGCAGAAGAGTAGGCTAATTCTCTGGATGCTGTTACTACTCTTAGATAACGGGATAGATGGACATAAAGAACATAAAAGAAGGAGCAGATTTAGTGAGGGAGTGATGGCGAAATCTGCCACAGACGTGCTGAGTGCCTATGAGACATGCAGAAGGAAATGAAAAACTGCAGGAGGGTGTAGACATCTAGATAAGGAGGCAGGTCTGAACTGCAGAAAGAGATTGCTGCTGGAAACCAAGGGAGTGAAGGAGATTGGCCAGGAAGAATGTGTAGGGTATAAAGATAAGATGCCTTGCAGAATGCTGACCTCTTAGGGGATTGATAAAGGAAAGGAAAGAATACTGGAAGAGTGCTGAAGATACTCTCACCACAGCGGGCGTTTCCAGACGGAGAAGGGGACAAGTGCTGCCAAGGGGCAACAAGAAGAGGATCAAAACGTATCCATTGGATTTAGTGACGTTGAGGTCCTTGGTGACCTTCTAGAGAGTTGTGGGAAAAACCAGATTGCAAGGGATGAGAGATTATGGAAGTGAAGAACTGGGGAGGCAAATGTAAAGAATGCTTTCAAATTTTAATAGAAAGGGCAGGTGGAAGGCAATAGCTAGAGGGGGACATCAGCTTTTTGTTGTTCAGAACAGGAAAAACTTAATTTTAACTTAAGTGTATTTCAACATGATGGAAAAGGGCCATTAGAAACAGAGAGGAGGCGCTGGAAAGAGAGGATAAGCAATTGAGCAGAATTGATGGCAGTTCTGAAGGCAGCAGAGGGTGGTATTCAGAGCATAAGTGGTGAGCTTAGACCTGGACAGGAGGTGGGGTCCCTCTTCCACTGAATAGGAGAAAGAAGGAAAGATGAGCCCAAATGCACACAGGCTTGTAGGTGTGATGGCCTAGATCACACCTGGGGCTGGGGATTTCCTGACTGATGCCTTTTTGAATGATTTGCTTTCGTTTTTGTAAAGTAGAAAGCAAGGTTATCTCTTATCTTCTGATAGTGGGGAAAAATATTGGAGAAAAGGAAGAGTTTTGAAGGAAGTAGACGAAGTTTGAGAGAGTAATTGTGGAGAACAGAGGAGAGTGCTGCTCTGGGAGGCAGGTGTCTCCAGACAGAGTTGAGGGCCATTGCGGTTGGTGACCTTGAGTTTGTGATGGCACCTCCCTGCTTGGCTCTGCCACGTTTCTCCAGGGGTGCCTCGCAGAGGAGACCAGGCACAGAAAAGGCAGGTGATTGGGTTCATCCAGGGTGAGAGGCTTTTACCAGGCTGATTTGCCAGAAGCACAGTGGGACGAGATAATTTAAGAAGTGAGTCAGAGAGTGTTCTGAATTGGTGAACCATGGATTTGCACTAGATGGGGTGCTGATAGACAGGGGGATAAGAGGGTTGACGAATCAGAAGTCGCTGTGAGGTGGAGAACTGGTGGTTGGGAGTAACTGGGCAGGACTGCTGCAGAGAGGCCGCCGCACTGGGCCCTGCCCCTCCTGCTGTCAAGACACCCAGGCCCGCCCACTGCAGTGGCTTTAACCGCCTGTGTGGAGGTGGCTGCAAAATCTGCATCTTAAGGCCTTACGTGGGGCCTGCACTTCAGACTTACAGGTGCAGCCACCTGCTGGTCATATCCATGTAGATATGACCACTTGTCATACCTAGTCCAATCGCACTTGTCTGTAATTAAACTTCTCACCCATGGTTTCTAGTAAGTTCAGGATCACCTACCCAAGCCAGGAAAGAGAAGTTATCCCAGACTCCTCTCTCCCTCTGTTTCCCCTTCCCCCATACTCCCTGCACACGTGTCAGGTCCACACATGTCAGATCCACACGTGTCAAATCCACATGATTTACCACGTTCCCGTTCCCCCATACTCCCTGCACATGTGTCAGATCCACACGTGTCAGATCTGCATGATTTGCCACCTGTCCTCCCATGCTCCTTGCACATGTGTCAGGTCCACCTGTGTCAGATCTACGTGATTTACCGCCTCTCCTTCTCCCATACTCTCTGCACATATGTCAGGTCCAGAAGTGATTTTACCCCCTTCCCCATACTCCCTGTACACATGTCAGGTCCACACGTGTCAGATACACATGATTTACCACCTCTCCTTCCCCCATACTCCCTGCACACGTGTGGAGTCCACACGTCAGATCCACACATGATTTTACCACTGCTCCTCACTTCACACTTGCCCTTTAGTGGCTACTGATAAGTAGTCCAGTATTAGTAGTTCAGGCTCCCTCAGGAGCGTGGCAGCCCCCCAGAGGAAGTGAGGGCTAGCATAGCTCTGGAGGTGAGCAAATATTCAGTAGGCTTTTTCCTTTCCACATTTTATCAAGATTCTGACCTCCTATGAAATTTGTTTTATTTTTACCAATATAATGAAAATCAAAAGTTATGTGGTGGCAGTTTATACTATAACTGTATGTTATAAAATATAACAAAACTGTATGATTAGTTTTGTAATTATATGGCATATACTTATAACTACATGATAATTTCTGTGTGATGAAAGAAAACGTTGCTAATTTGAACTCTTTTAGGTAGAGCAGATTGCCAATATTATGCTAAAGCAGAACTTCTGGCAGACTATTTACAAAAGAACCTTCCTGATTTTCGGATGCATAAAATTACGCAGCATCCTCATGTTTGGGAGGTAAGAAGCCTTTACAGTTGTTAAACTCAACACACGCATAAAAATTTTTTCTAATTTGATTAAATATTACCTCGTGTATCAGAAGACTTCCAGTAATGAATGTTCACGTACTCCTGACATTTTAACACTAGTAAAATAAATCCTTTACTTATCAGTCTAAAACATTTGCATATTTTTTCCTGATACCTAGTAGAACAAATGAGCCCCTAACGATAAGTAGAATAATTTGGCTGTGTTTTCCCCAAGATCCAGGTAGCTTAGATTGCACTTTCTAACTTCATTCTCCTCCATATTGGTTTCTAGTGACATGAGGGACCTATTTATTTGAAATACCCTCCTATGGGTCTGTGTTTCCCCAGAACCAGACTGAGCTGGAGATTTGGGTGAAGGAGTTTCCTTTACTGGGGAGTGCTCTTGCAAGCAGCATCCTGAGAAGGATGAGGGCAACAGGATTGGGCAGCGGGAGAAGAACTGCCATACAGCTGCAGCGAGGGCCCAGCTGGCCCTACAGGGAACTCTGAAGCCAGGATGGCCCTTCAGAGATACCCCAAATACAGGCAAGGGGGCTGGGCTTTTGTACTCCCACAGCTAACAGTCACTGGGTGCAGGCTGCCCCCGGGGAAGGGACTTAACCTTGGGAAAGGGAGCTTTCTTGCGCTGAGGTCAGTTCTGGAGGGAGACGCAATGCTGACCCCTCAGCAGCCAGTACCCCTGGTGGCAGAGGACACAAGTGCCTTGGTCATGCAGGGGGTGTGGACCACACATGACAGGACCTGCTACATCTGTGCCTTTCGGATCCACACGCTCCTGTCGTTAGTTCGCACCACCTGGGGACAGCTCTCCCAGGATTCTGAATGGCATCTCCCCCTGGGGAAACCTTCCAGAAGGAGGTTGGTCCGTAACCGATCACCTCCACTGCGTGTCGTTTCAGGGCCATCAGTGACACTCATCACCTCTCTACTGTCCGTCACAGAGTCCCTCACCCCTGCTGCTCAGGTGACTTAGTAGCTGTGGTGACCTACACTTGTATCCTTGGGGGTCGGATCCCCAGTCACCACTCCCTTTTCAGGATGTGACTGCTGCACTTGTCCACATACTGTCAAACTTGGGCGAGGTATTACGGCAGATGCCCCAGTGGATCGCCTAGACTCCAGGCTTCCTTCCTGCCTCATTGGGTGGTAGCTATCCTGCGTGCTGCTCATGGGGCCAATTACCCTCCAGGGTGGTGACTCCCGTCCTGCCTGCTGGTCTCCTGGCACAGGAGCTCAGAGTGACCGAGTGGCAGCCATAGCTTAAAGTTGAATGGGACTCTTCCTGATAGAAGCGCCCCCCACCCCTGGGGTTTAGAAACTCCAGACCCACAGAGTCTAGGGTAAAGGGGATTTGGAAGTACAAATTCCCCACATACTCACTGGGAGTAATGGTAAGCAGGGTCACTCTTAATTCCACCCTTGGTTCCTGGATTCGCATATCCTACCTATAGAGGGCAAAACACTATATTGATTTATGGTGTAAATTGCATCCTGAAGGGCGTCCCCTGCTTTCAAGGTATCAGTCTTCCAGCTGGTGCCTGCACCTTCAGTGGGGATTTCCATCCCTCTATCAGGCTGCTAGGTGGTGCCATGTATGGTAGGGCCAGTGGACCCCTAGTTACATGCCCAACACTGCGCAGCCTTTACGGTGGGTCTCTTGGTTCAAAATGATGTTCCGCAGGATCCCCTGTTGGTAAGTTAAACTTTTTGTAAGCTCTTGGACAGGCTGCTGGCCTGCCCTAGAGGCAGGAGGGGCAGTTCTTCGCCCAGAATACATGTTGACTCAAATCAAGATGAGTCGCTGCCCTGTCCGAAGAGGAGGGGTCCAGTGTCATCAACTTGCCACCAAGAGGGATAGTGCCGTTATCAGGGGGTCAGCGTTGGTCTCTGTTGCCAGCACATGGTCCATTTAGTGGCTGCAATGACCAGATCAGCTTTGGTGAGTGTAGTTCCTGCTCTAGGGCCACTGCATAACCTCTCTTTGGTGACCCCATGGTGCCTCCAGCTGTTTAAGTGATCTTGCTGCTGAATTGTTGAGCTCTTCTTTCACAGTAGATATTCTCTGGTGGGCACTGCCCCCAGCCTCTTTTATTTCAAGATTCTATCACCCCTGTTGCCAGGGAGTTCAGCTCTGGAACAACCCTGCCCCGGAATGAACAGCCACACTGGGCTTCTCCCCAGTGAGTTCCTGATCACCTGAGTGACTGTGGTGTCCTTCAGGCCCTTCTGGAGATCAGAGTTGACTAGCAGGTCTCCAGCCCTCCACAGTAGCGTATCCGCTGAAGCATGCCCATTTCTCTAAGCTTTTTGATCCCTTCCTCCGCTGTCTTCTATGGCAGTTCTGGCATTTCTATTTTGTTTCCTGTGAGCCATCACTTTCTCCAAGCTCCGGAGAGCTATCCTTGCACGTGTCATCACTCTCTTCTGAGGTCCTTGCAGGGTGATCGCTCTTGAACTGCAGAAGAGTGATTCCTATTGATAAGTTCTACCTCGTCCAACTTTATGTTCCGCTCTGGATTCAGCACCCTCAGGTCCAGTCCTCCACATATTTCCCCAGCCCCTGCCAGGACAGCAGCATGCCCTGCTTGGGGCTGCAGGTCCTTTGGGGTGGAGTCCCTTCCTCCATAGGCCCAGCACTTCACTGGTCAGGCTGTGTTGTGACCGGAGGGACGATGGTGGAATCCTCACAGCAGCACTGTTTACTTTCAGGCAGGGTAAAGGCAGAGAGTCTTCAACATCAGCAAGGGAAGTTTGTGTCTAAGAGTTTATTTGTAAGATAGCCCCATTACACACACCTCCAAAGACGAGAGGGCTGTCACGGACTTTACCGCTGAGGATGTTGCTCTGTCTCTGCTCAGCTCTTGTCATGGGGAGGCTGGTCTACACAAACCAGATAATGATGATTTAAACTGTTTCTAATAAATATTATCAGAAATCCCCAGATAACTTTTAGCTTATTAATTCAGTCTGAATGGTATAAATTATACCCACATATTTGGAAAGCAGTATCAAATTTGTATAGCCCTAAGACTGGAAACATTTCACATCAAAGAACAAGGGGAAACTCAGTTGAATTTTTTTGAAATCGGTTGAGTTGGAAGACTTGGCTTCTCTTTAAGCTGACCCCTTGCACTCCAGGTCTCCTCAGCAACGAGGGCAACTTTCAATACCTGTATTTGGTCAGTGCATTTGGAGAATATTCTTTCTTATTTGATTAATTTGTTACCTAACTCATTACTCTTTTCTATATTTATGATTTATACTTCAAGCTATCTAAATTTTATTATATATACTCAGTGGTAGGAAAAAACAAGCTGTGTTTGAATTCTAAAGTATTGAATTGAATTTCGAGGCAAATTCAATGTGTGGCTTCTCTTGGAATATCATTCAATAGGAGTGGCTGAAACATTTGTGTGAAAAGAATAAGTGGAGTCACAAAACCTCCCCCATCATCTGGAGAGAGCTGCTGGATCGTGGAGGAAAGGGCTTGCTTTTGGGGGGCTACAATGAGTTCCTGGAGCATGCCCAGGTATGTAAACTAAGTGGATTTATCTCTTCAAAACATCATTCTGTCACATTATTTTCTCTTTTCAAATGTCTTGCTTTCTAAAGTATTCTCAGCTCTCTTTTTCTTCTATTCTGGCTTTAAACAAGAACTTTCCATTGTAGCCGTTGTCAGCTAACTATCTGTTCTCTCATGTCGACTTTTTCTTTCCCAATATTTAGCTTTACTACGGTGTCACCTCCAGCATGACGACTGAGCTGATGAAGACAATTGCCCAAGAGAACCTGGAGACACACATGGAAAAGGAGCTGGAGGGAGAAGCCCTGAAAGGTCTCCTCAGCCCCCTGCAGGTCTGGATCACCAGGTGCGACAGTCAACCCGGGACTGTGAGATTGGCTTCTTCTATTGAGAAAGGACAATGATGTGAGATTAATTCCATGATGGGAGAATATCTGAATGTCAGTGTTGAGAGGTGTATGTATCTATATGTATGTGTATAGATACATGGACATATGCGGCTATAGACATATGCATCCCCCAATACAGCCCGTGTATGAGTTCTAGCTCATATATAGATTTAATATGTATGTGTGTATATGAGCGACTTGACAGCGAAGATATTTGCTTAGGGAACTCCGTCTCCAGCTCTAGGCCCCTCATCTGCGTCTCTCTTGCTGTCTGCTGCTCTCGTTCTTGCTCTGTACCCTGCTGTCCTCCCTCCCCGCCCCCATCTCACTGACTGTTGTCCTCTCCCTCTCCCCACCTGCCAGAGCTGGCCTCCTCCGCTCTTCCTACCTCACTCATTCTCTGTGATCCTGCCCCTCACTCCCCCTCCTCCTTACTCTTCCTCCTCCTCATGTTTGTCCCTCGTTGCTCTCGGTCTTGGGCACACACGGTGTTTGTGGTCGCTGTGTCTCTCTGTCTCTGCACTCTCTCCCTCTCCTTGTCTCTCTCTGCCTCCCCTTCCCACTCCCCACGCCTCCGTCTGTCTCTCACCTGCCCTTCTCACTACAGTGCATGGATCCTAGTAGAGATACTCATTGGAAAAGTTATTTGTTATTATGACATATTTCAAACACAGACAAGAGTTGAGAATGGTGTAATAAACATACAGGAACCTAACACCTAGATTTATTAAATATTACATCTGCTTTCAATATTTTTTAAAGGATTAAAAAGGTGCAGATAATGTTGAAACCCCCATTGTACCCCTCCCCAGACCCCCTGTGAAAACCAAAAACTCCCAGATGCATTTCCAACCCCCTCGGGGGTCACTACAGCTCTTGCTGATGGCCCAGCTAGAGCGTACCCAGCCACTTGCTGCGCTGTGGGCACAGACACCTGATCCCTGATACCTGCCTGTGTTGATCCTAGCTTGCTTGTGAGGAAACTGGTCCTTTCCAAAAACTGTCATGACTTCACAGATCAGGGTATAAAATAGAAAAGAGCTATGGTTAAATTAAATTTGTTATTTCTTTATCTTTTGAAGAGAAAATGTAAACATGTAATTAGAGTAATATGACACAGTTCTTTTAAATTTTGCTTTCTGCATGTTCTATTTTATTTGAAAAGCCTTATAAACAGGTACATTTCTTATTTGGGGGTTGATTTCAGATGGCCAGAGCAAAGGGTTAGTAGTGAGAATTTTTTTGTTCTGTTTTTGATTTCTAGCCTGTCTAGGCAGACGTGTATGCCTATTTAAGAGGTTAATCACCCTATTAATGCACATGCAGAAGTATCTATTAGGAATAAAGGCTTAAAAGGGGCAAAAGATTTAACCATTCGTAATCCGGCGTTGCATTTTTATTAGTGCGTCTGCGCCTGCCTGCTACAACCTCATTCCCATCTTGACCAGCGGGGAAGTGTTTGGAACACATACGGAAATTAGCATAACTCTATTTGACCAAAAGGAGGCAGAAGAAAATCTCAACATGCTCATGTCAGAGATTCGGGACCTGGTGTCTCCCTTCCTCCGGAGCGTCTCCGTCTGCACCAGGGTGGAGGAGGCCTTCCTCCAGGCGCATGTGGTCATCGTCCTGGACGACAGCACCGACAAGGAGGTGCACAGCCTGGAAGACTGCATCCGCAGCAGGGTCCCTCTGTGCCGGCTCTACGGATACCTGATGGAGAAGAACGCCCACGAGTCTGTCCGAGTCATCGTGGGAGGAAAGACCTTTGTCAATCTTAAAACGGTTCTGCTCACGAGATATGCCCCCCACATCGCACACAACGTTGTCGCTGTGGCGCTGGGGGTGGAGGGCCAGGCCAAAGCCGCGCTGGCCAGGAAACTGGGCACCACGCCTTCATGTGAGTGAGCTCCGTTTCTGTCTCTGCTCCTGTTTTTACAGTGTGATTTCAGGGCAGCCAGGAGAACACTGTCCCTCTAGGATTGTTCTGGGCATCTGGGATAGAAAGAAGGAAGCAGGTACAAGGAACCTCTTATTATGTGGTTTGACTGCTGTGCAAACATTTTTCTTTTGTTTTTTACTACTGGCTTTCAGGACTATCTGACTTTGTCCATCATTATAAAGGTTAATAAACAAATATTTAATAGAATAAGATTTACATTTTTCAAGTAATAAGTTGAAGCCTAATATTCCACTTTTTTCATGATACTAGTCAACTAAGGTAATAGTGTTTTCAAAAAAATGCTCAGGGCTGTGTTAAAGTGGCCCCACCCCACGTCCCAGCTGTGTGACCTCAGGCAGTCACTTACCCCTGCTGTGCCTTAGTTTCCTCATCTGTAAGATGAGGATGTTAATAGCACCTGCCTCCTGGAATTGATGTGAGGGTTCACTGAAATAATCTTTCTAAAGGGCTTGGAAGAGCACCTGGCACATGGTGAACGTTTGCAAGGATGTTAAACTTGTCAATGGGATTCTGATAGCAGAGCGATCTCTGCTCCTGTTGGTCTTTGAACTGGTAGACGTCGGAATCACACGAGGATGAGACTGGATCAGAGAGTGGACTGTTGTATTTAAAAAGGGAGTGTTGGGGCTGGCCCGGTGGCGTAGCAGTTAAGTGCACACACTCCTCTTCGACGGCCCAAGGTTCACAGGTTCTGACCTCGGGCGTGGACCGACACACAGCTTGTCAAGCCATGCTGTGGCGGCGTCCCATATAAAGTAGAGGAAGATGGGCACAGATGTTAGCCCAGGGCCGGTCTTCCTCAGCAAAAAAGAGGAGGATTGGCAATGGATGCTAGCTCAGGGCTAATCTTCCTCACCAAAAAAAAAGGGAGTGTTGTATTTAAAAATATTTCTCATATTCGACCAATTTTAGCTGTTGTGCCCTTGGAGGGAGCAGGCGCAGCGGCACCCATTGAGAACGCCGGGAGGCACAGCTACTCGCTCACGCCAAGTTGAAGACAGTGAGATGTGAGCCTAGAGTGCTCTCCCTCGGGCTGTAAAGGACTTCGGTGAGCCCCTGACACCTTATAGCAAGAGCTGCATTATCCATTTCTTTACAGTGAAGCCCTGGAAGCAACCCCTGGTGGTCTTGCCTATAGATCTTTGGCGTCTGACCCCCAGGGTCAGTGCATTCCTCACCCGAATTGATACCAAAATTAGTCAATAGGAAAGGAAAACATTTTCTAACCATTTTCTCCCTGTTGTCAGCCTTGTGTGTATATGTGTAGACACTGATTTATCACAGAAGATCTATGATATGCTGATGGAAGTGTCAGGAAGAGGCAGTGTTAGAAAATTTAAAACAAGGTGGGGGGCGGGGGCTTCCAACCAGAGAGCTGCTCTCTTGTGGATCTGGTGGTGCCATAAATTCTACACCCTGCTGGACTCAAAGCCAATAAGCATGAGAGGCAGAAAAGAGAAAAATGGAGAAAGTTGGGAAAAGGAAAGAGAGACATTAGGGGGACAATAGTCAAAGTAGAATTGTCGGTGGGGCAACAAGGAGAAACTCAGGAACCGCAAAGACAGAGCTGAGCAAAATGATGTGAAATAGAAAAACCATCAGGGAGAGTCACTCGGGGAAGATTCCAGGTGTCAAGAGGGTAGCAAACCTTTTCAGGATACCCCTGCGTTCAGTGCCCACATAACCCTGTTTCTCAGCCCACGTGTATTGGCTTAGCTGGGAGAAAGTCCACTCAAAGTGACTAAAGTCAGACAGAGCTTTTTGTCACGTAAGTGGACAGAGCAGGAGACAGTCAGTTCCTGTCGCAGGCCTAGCTGGACGCTGGGCCCACGTGACGTCAGGATGGGCTGTGCTCTCTCGGTCAGTCTCTCAGCTGGGCTGTCCTCAATATTGGTTGGATTATCAAGGAGGCAAGATGGCCACCAGCAGCCCCAGACTCATACATTCATGGCTCAGCTACCCCAGTAGAAAGAGGGCTTTCTCTCTGAATTCTTTGTACAAAAGTAGCAGGATAGTGTCGTTGGCTGGACGTGAACCCGTGATCTCCAAGTCAGTCATCGTGGCTGGGAATCTGGAGTCTGGGTCTCCTGCCTGTTGACAGACCTGAGGGGTGAAGACAGCCCCGCCCAAACCATAGGGACTGAAACTGGGGAGCGGTAGTTAGTTAAAGAGAAACCAGAATGCTGTTGAAGAAAAATGTAGGGAGAGATGCTGGGAGGAAAAGACTGCTGACGTCCACTGTAATTTCTCTAGCATAATTCAGGGCATTTGAAGCTATAAAGGGCCTTAAAGCTGAAAAGAAAAATGAGAACCAGTGAGAGTAAAAGCCTTCTTTAGACTTTGGGAAGAAAGCCTACCATATCCTTCCTTCGGGGTGGAGGACTTTTTTCCCCATATGGAATCCCATGAGCTCCAAACGGGACCACCCCCTTCCCTTCCCTCCTATAACATGCAGCTAACAGACGGCCCACGTGCACATCATGGCTATCAGGGGGTTGGGTGATGGAGGGAGCATCAGCTGTTCCTACTTCATGAGTCATTTTGATGAGAGAGAATCTCAGGAGGGTGGTATACACTGATAGTTGACCACCTAAGAACCATTTCCCACTGTCTTCTCCCCCTAGCCTGTCTCTCACTATAGAATTCAAAAAGACACTCATGTTCTCAGCTTCTCTTGCAGCTGAGAGTGGCCGATTTCACTCCCTGAAAAGAGAAAAGGCAAAAGAGGAAGCTTTGTCCCATTCTTTTCCCTACTGCCTGCCTTTTAACATAACTGTGTGAGAGTGTGATACTTGGAGCTGCTGCAGCTGTTTTAGGACCATGAGGGGAAGGCAAAGAAACTACTGCCTTTGAGCTGCTGGCAAGCACCAGTGTCACTGCCTGCCTTGACTTGCTGTTACCTGAGAAAAGTAAATTCCTTCTACTTAAGCCGAGTCAGTAGGATATTCTGTTACTTGAAGCCAACAGCCATCTCACCTCATAAAGGACAACAGGAAAGATTTTAATCTTCACAATAGGAAGTAGTGTGGCCTTATAAGGGAGTTAAGTTTTTAAGCAAATAAGTTAATAAATGAATCAATAAAATTACTTATTTTCACAATATTGCTAGAAAATCCACAAGGATAAAATCATATTAAATACCAGTCCCTGTTTCTCTCGAAGCCCACCCTATGTTTTCTTTGAGATAGGTGTCACTTTGCACAGTGGCTGTTTCCCCCCAACCCCCTCTGCCCCAGAGTGTTTCGAGGACCAGGCTGGTCTGTTTCCTCCTAAGCCTGTAAGTGCCCCACGTACCCAAGCTGGTTCAGTAACTGTTTGTGAAGACGTTCCTCAGGGTCCTCTTGTTACAACACCCTCATTCTGCAGGAAACGAAACCCACCCGGGAACTATGTGATTTGCCCGGATTTCTATTCCAGTCTAGAGTCAAGGCTCCTTGTCAGAATCAAAGCAAATCAAACCCATCTTCATGGCAGGCAGAGCGATGGCCGTAGGGCCAGCACGGTGGTGTCATTGTCGCCGCAGTTTCAGGAGCGTTCAGTGTTCCTCGCTTCCCTCACGTGCCCACACCACTCGTGGAGCATTATTGGGGACCAGCCCTGACAAGTAAGGAGACGGTCCGCATCGTGGGCACGTTTTTACGGCATAAACTTAGACCTGGTTTATAGCAACAGGACTGACCCTAAATCAAACACTCACAGGAAGCAGGCTGCAGCGATCTTTTATATTAACCTTCCTTATTATGCTAATTCTTATTTCTTTTCTTCACAGCCATCAAAGACGTGATCATTTGGGGGAATATTAGTGGAAATAACTACGTTGATCTGAGAAAAGCCAAGGTTTACAGACATGAGAGTGCCATTTGGGGCCCTCCGCACTATTCACGCCCTGTCTTAAGCTTGATTTTTGATAGGTACAGTACATTTTTAGGTGAAGTATACTAACAATGTTGAATAGATGTCTAATTGTTGTTATAATCTTTTAAATGATCTTAGAAATCTTTGTACAAAAATAACTTGTTGTTCATACTCATCTTTGTTTATGTCTCTATTGAAGAAACAGAAAATTCCATAGAATTTTGGCTATACAGTCCCCGCCCCAGTTGATTTGGTTTTGAAATTATGAATCTTTATGTTCAGATTATCCTTAAAGTGGCTCACCTGTTCCATTAAAGTTATCCCTAATGCAAGCATACATAGGGCAAATCTTATGTAATGTGGAGACAGAGATAAGTGGCCAAGTTGAAATTAGTTGAAACGTTTTTGAGAATAAGGAGTTACGATGGTGAGCAGCCCAGGCTGTGCTGGGTGTTCTGTCCCAGGAGGGGCAGAATCGGAGTGGAGAGGAGCACAGTCTTCAGAACCAAGCCACCTGGGTTGGAATTCTCACGGAGCCACTTACCGGCTGTGTGACTTTAGAGAAGTTACTTGACCTCTCTGTGTCGCAGCTTTTTCATCTGCAGAGTGGAAATGGTAGCAGTATAGGCCTTATTGGGTGGTTGGGAAGATTAAATGGATTATACAGCAAAGGGCTCAGAACTGTGCCAGCCATCCACACCACCGATCTGCGGGGGCAGAGGAGGAGGGGAGGAGCGCCTTTGAGGCTTGTTTCTAAACTTGGCAGCACTTCCCCGGTTTTAGCGTTTCTTCCCGTTGCCCCTTCCCTTTCTGCCCTTGCTCAGACCTCAGGAACTTCATCCGTGCCTGGAGATTGTGTGTCCCTGGTTCCCCCTTGTGGAGTGTGGCCCCTCTGTGTCCACCGCCTGGTGGGGCCGGGCTGTCCTGGAGCCATGGTGCTGGCTCAGAGGGCAGCCAGTTAGCGCTGTGTCCAGGGGGACTGTCCCAAGTCTAAACTTCTGATGATAAAAACTTGATCATTTCCCAAGTTCTCAATGTGACTCGTTCAACGTTTTATGATATTATTTTCTTAAATGAAGGACACCACTGGTTCCGAGATGACGTCAACATAGATTCTTTGTGATGAAGGTCCCCGTCCTCGCAGCCTGTGACCGCTGCTCCGTGTTCCACGTGTACATCATCATGTTTGTTTTGTTTTGTTTTGTTTTGCTGAGGAAGACTGGCCCTGGGCTAACATCTGTGCCCGTCTTCCTCTACTTTATATGGGACACCGCCACAGCATGGCTTAACAAGCGGTGCGTCGGTGTGTGCCCGGGATCCGGGCCTGCGAACCCCGGGCTGCCATAGCGGAGCACGCGCACTTACCCACTGCGCCACCGGGCGGCCCCAACATCATCCTGTTTTTAGTTTGGAACTTTGGGACTCCTGTCTGCTGTTTCGTTACTTTTCAGTTGGCTCTTTGTGGGACTGAGGAAGCTGGAAGATGGGGCTCAGGGAGTCCCCTTCTGCTTTGTGGAGGGGATTTCTGGTGCTTGGATCCACCGACCCAGGGACCACTCTTTTTCCTTTCCATTCCTTCCTCCCTTGTAAAACTGTGTCTTCCTGTCCTTGTAGTGAGTGGGTAAACGGAGAATTTGTGGCGACTCTGAAAAAGCTGACGGCCACAGGAGAGCAATTTGGAGCCATCTTAGCTGCACATAGCATAGCCACGATGCTAAAATACTGGTACCACGGCTCTCCGCCCGGGGAGATCGTGTCTCTAGGAGTATTGAGTGAAGGTAAATCTGGGTGTTCCTCTCGTAATATTTAAAAACCTCCATGTGTGTATGCCATGTGCTCGTGCTTCTGTGTCCCCACCTGCTACCTCTCAACATGGTCTGTAGGCTGTTTGGATTTTCACAGTTCCGTAATCATTCATTCACTCATGCATTCATTCAGTTATCCATTCAGAAGTTCAACAATATTTTGAGTGAACGCATGGGATCACACATGGGGATTAGACCTGGCCTTTGCCTTCGGCAGAGTAAAGGAGAACCAGATACATAAACAAAATAGTTCCGGTAACTTTTTCTCACTGTATCCCAGCTGAGGAAGGGAAAGCAAGGTCAATTTTAGGTGGGCAGCCGGAAGAATCAGGGCAGGCTTCATAGAGGAGGTGACACTCCGGGAAGCCTTCAAATCTGAGTAGCGTTTACCTGGCAGACAGGTGTGGGAGGAACATCTGGGCACAGGAGCCACGGGGCAGAGACACGGGGGCACATCAGGACCCAGATAATAGGGCTCCAGGCAGCAGCAGGAATGTGGCGGCTGGCTTTCCGTTCACACATACTGTGTATGCGTTTTTACAGCCTGACTGTTTTAATCTGCTAAAAACCATTCAGAGGACTTGTGCCATTTTTGAAACACAGGAAAGAAAGAATAGCTGCTGGTCTGTGTTCCATAGGTTGTGTCTGAAGCTTCTCTTCCCTCATGCTTTACCTTCTCCCTGTGCAAGCCTCGCTCCCAACCTTCGCTCCCAACCCTTTGGCCTGGGCCTCTCTGCCAGATCTGGCCTGCGAAACATTGGCACACGGATGTCCTGCTGTCACTTCAAACCAGTGTACACAAGCTGGGCTCACTGTCTCCCTGCCCCAGTCTGACCCACCTCCTGTATTCCTTGTGTTATTAGTTCCAGTGACCATGGGGCAGCTCCAGGAAATCTCCCAGACCCCGAGGTCGGCAGTGACCTGTCTCTCCTCGTACTCACACAGCTCCTATTCCTCCATCAGGGAGCAGGGCACTGGCTGCCTGTGCAGGGGTGCAGTTAGCTGCATGTCCCCTCCATTAGCTTGTGGACCCTGAGGGCAGGGCGGGGCTGGGTCTTCCTGCTGCTCCTTCATGGCCAGACACTCAGTGAATCTTGTTCGGTTGAAGATAAGGTGCGTGAACATCCCCATAATGTGAATTCAAATCAGTATGTTACCTTTTCAGTGAAATAGGCATTTTAAACCTTATCTTTATTTGTAGAAAGTTTAATTAATCTCTATAGGAATTCATCAATAAGTGGCACAGTCTTGGGAGTGACCGATGCGACCTGAAGCCGTACCACGTAGTAAACCCTCACGTGTTGTCTGCCTACCCGCATGACTGGCTCTTCTCAGAGAAAACAGAGAGCTGATAGGGGCCCGTGCGCCCTCTGAGGAAGAGTCTGTTAGATCCTGGCTGCTTGACTCTCCTCTGTTTTGGCCCTGGGGACAACATTTGTGATGACAGGAATGGCAAGAATCATTTTCTTATTTGATTGAGGCACCCAGTGGGGGCCCTTGTATCTAGATGTCGCTCGGCTGGTAAGAAGCCTTGTCCATCTTCTTGTCTGGAGCACCTCCAAACCCCGGACTGGGAACTGAAATCCCCAGCCCTCCTGCCCCCTCCTGTCCCTGCCAGTCCGTCCTCGTCCCTCAGCTCCGTGAGGGCCGCAGTGTAGGCTAAAGAGCAAAGGCCAGGCCGGACAGATGCCTTGGGCTTGTGGGTTCCCTCGGGAAGGGACCAGGAGAAGCCTGGAATGCAGACAGAAGGGATCAGACAAGGTGGAGGAGAAGGGAGGCGGAGGCAGGGGTCTGACCCTGGTGGGATCAGAGGGGTGAAGAGGGAACGTGGTTCTTCCTTCTGAGAGAAACACAGAAGGTGAGTCAGAACTCGGAGAGGTGCCCGAGCAATACCCTGGAGGACGTGTTCAGTCCTCCCTGGGAGGACCCCCCAGAAATGCAGTCCGCCTATCACTGAGTCACGCACCACACCTGTCCTTCCTACAGCGCTTCATAGGAGGGTTTGCTGTTCTGATGCTTCTGCTCGCTCCCTGCAGGCCAGTTTGGTGTTCCCGAAGGGATCGTCTTCTCTATGCCTGTGAAGTTCGAGAATGGAACTTGGGAGGTTCTTACAGATCTCAAAGATATTGAAATAAATGAGCGAATAATGACCAGAATGACAAGTGATCTGATCCAGGTAACGTCAGAACAGACACAAGGGAACTGACTTTGATAATGACCTTGAACTGATTCCCCTGGGCCAAGGCATGCACTGGTTTTCTGTGGGTTCGGTTTGTATCTTAGTCCTAAAAATGATAAGGAGACGATAAAAGTTTGAAGAAATCAGCAGAAGAACACTACTCCTTTGGTTATATAGTTTCTAGTATGTTAAAAATATTTGTTAGTTGCTTAAAAATCAAGAATCAAAATGCATTTCTATTAAAAATGATTAAGTTAGTAATGGTGGTCATTTAATTCTCTGATTATAACATTTTTCAACAGGAGAAACTTGTTGCGCTTGGAGATTTGATAAATTTTCAGCCGTATCAATCAGGTAATCTTTTAGATGTGATTTTGCGGGGGGGCAGCTATTAAAAGAGTATTAACATATTTGTTAAAACTGAATCACTATTTAATATAAATAACTATAATCCATATTTTATTACTTTTAAACTAAATTATTAACAAAATAAACTGCTAAGTTCAATGTGTCCTTTGGAATAAAACATCTCGTAAGAACACCAAAGAAATCACATCTTGAAAACACCATGACCGTATACGTTTTGTGTATATCATATGTATTAGTTTCCTAGGCTGCCGTAACAAATTACCACAAACTGGATGGCTTGAAGCAGCAGAAACTTATTCTCTCCTGGTCCTGGAGACTGGAAGACCTAAGTCCAGGTGTCGGCAGGGCGTGCTCCCTCTGAACACTCAGGGACGAATCCTTTCTTGCCTCTTCCAGCTTCTAGCACCAGAGCTTGTCGTTCTTGGCTGGTAGCTACATCACCCCAGTCTCTGCCTGTCTTCCCTCTGTGTGTGTCTATGTTTCCAAATCTCTCTCCTTATGAAGGCACCACTCATTGCATTTAGGGTCCCCCCAATCCAGTATGACCCCATCTTAACTTGATTATATCTGCCAGGGGATTAGGACTTCAACATATCTTTTTGGGAACACAATTCAACCCACAACACTACATTTACTGTTAGATAAGTTTATTTTTTTTTCAATTATTTTATCGAGGTCATAATGGTTTATAACTTTGTGTAATGTTAGGTGTACATTATTATTTATCAGTTTCTGTATAGACTGCATTGTGCTCACCACCAATAGTCTAATTTTTATCCGTCACCGTACATATGTGCCCCTTTACCCCTTTTGCCCATCCCTCAACCCCCTTCCCCTCTGGTAACCACTAATCTGTTCCCTTTATCCATGTGTTTGTTTATCTTCAACATATGAATGAAATCATACGGTGTTTGTCTTTCTCTGTCTGGCTTATTTCGCTTAACATAATACCCTCAAGCTCCGTCCATGTTGTTGCAAATGGGACGATTTTGTCTTTTTTAATGGTTGAATGGTATTCCATTGTATATATATACCACATCTTCCTTATCCATTCATCAGTCAAGGGACATTTGGGTTGCTTCCACTTCTTGGCTATTGTGAATAATGCTGCAATTAACATAGGGGTGCATAAATCCCTTTGAATAGTGGATTTCAAGCTCTTTGGATAAATACCCAGTAGTGGGATGGTTGGATCATATGGTATTTTTATTTTTAATTTTTTGAGAAATCTCTACACTGTTTGCCGTAGTGGCTGCACCAGATTGCATTCCCACCAGCACGTATGAGGGTTCTCTTTTCTCCACATCATCTCCAACATTTGTTATTTTTTGTCTTATTTACTGTTAGATAACTTGAAAAATAATAATAAATTTCAATAAGCTTATTTTTCTCATTGACATTTTCTCTAATCATAAACTCACAAGAAGTGCTATCAACTTTCTTGCTTCCTTTTGTCTTAAAGAAAATCTCATCTTACGTCTGGAAATAGAAACATGGAAATAAATAAATTCATTTATGTAAAGAGCTTTAATCAAGTGCCTTTCGAGAGCCCAACAGTCCCTCCTCCCACTAAGTTCAAGGAGCACTAACTGTAAGCCAGTGCTTGGGGCTAGAAATATAGGGTGAACAAGATAGACCCGTCCCTGCCCCTTTGGAACCTAACGGTCTATCGGGGGTCATAAATTACACAAATGACTGCATTTGTGGTGAGTCTTAGGGTGAGAGAACAGGGTGCTGTGCCGTGGGAGCTCATGCCCAAAGATGTAAGGAAGGAACCTGAGGCAGGAAAACGTATATCACCTTGTTTGAAAACCTGCCAAAAAGCTTGTGTGGCCAAAGCCTAAAGAGAGGAAGCTGGGCGGCCCCTGAGGAGCAGATGTAAGAGCTTCCAAAGGCTTCCTTCCAGATCGACAGGCACCTGTTCACAAGTCCCTATCCAGGGACAGCAAAGCAGGTCTGTGATTAGTCTGGAAAGCAGATTGGAACAAGGCTGGACTGTTTGTGAAAGACTGATGTTAGGAGGGCAGCGCAGTGACCCAAAGAGGAGATGATCACAGCTGAGGCAGAGGCAGTAGAGCTGTGAGACATTTAGGGGTGGATTATCAAGACTTGATGGCAGATTGGCTCTGAGGAGTCCCAGAGGACTCAGCCTTCTTCTGGTTGAGCAACAGGGTGGGTTTACTGATAGGGGAAAAATGGTAAAAGAACATTATTTGAGAAAGAGATAGAGTGTGTGGGTGGGTGTGGGGGGGTGTGTGTGTGTGTGTGTGTGCATGCGCTGGGTGGAAGAGAGAGGAAGGGCATGATGCCAGAGTAGAGGAAAGATGAGTTAGGTTCCTATATTTGATTCTGAAATATCTATGGGATATCCACAGTGGAAATAACAGATAGAGAACTGCATGCTCTCTGGAGCTTGGAAAGATCTAGACTGCAGTCATCAAATTGGGAGTTGTTGCCTCATAATAGACATGAACCATGAGCATGATGGAGGTTATCTAGAGAGAGTGAGAGGAGAGGGCCTGGAGGAACTCGGCCTTTGATGGTTAAGGAGAACAGGAGCAGCTGACAGATGGTGGGAGAAAGGGGCGTCAGAGAGCCAGGACAAGCCCCCCAACATCGGATGTCATGGAAGACCTAAAGGCAGAGAGTGTTTCAGAAACGAGGGCTGGTCTACACTGTCAGATGCTGCTGGGGGATCAAATAAAATGAGGCCTGAAAAGTATCCAAAGGATGTATGACCTGGAGGTCATTCCTGACTTTGATGAGGGTGATTTCGTGGAACCAGGAGGGCAGGAATGAGACCAGGGAGGGGAAGACCCTTGCCTCGGGCACCACGGTCTTGCTATAGAGCTGGTGTGCTCAGTGCCGTGGGCCAGCGGAATGTGCTGGGTGCTGTGGGGCAATGGGAAGGGCCCCCATCAGGATTGTGACGTGATGGAAGGGCTTTCTGGAGGAGATGACATCTAAACCGATTCATGAGAGGAAAGAAGGCTAAGATGGAGATAAATGGGAGGGTTGTTCCATTCAGAGGGAGCAACAGACACAAAGGCAAAGAAGCAAGAAGAACTTTCTGAGAACTGCCAGTTCATTTTATCTGGAAAGTAAAGTTTGAGGTGAGAAAGGTCAAAGGGCAAAGTTTACTTACCTTGTTAAAACCAGTGGAGGGTTTTAGGCAGGGGAGGGACAGGAGGAGATTCTAATGTTAGAATGCTCACTCTGTTGGTGATGGGAGGGATGAATTGCAGGGAGAGACCAGACGCAGTAAGACCAGTTCTCTTGCAGGTAGAGAAGTGATGAGGGTCTTGCCTTAACCAAGAAGTGGCCATGAGGGTGCAGAGAAGGTGCTATATGTGAAAGACATAAAATTGACAGAGCTCAACCAATCTGCGATAGAGGATAAGAGAGCTCAAGGGGGTCAAGAATGCCCCAATGTTTAGGCATCTGGACATCTGGTGGTGTCAGTCCCTAAGACAGAACTTCCCAAACACTGGGCCACAAATGGGTTGGGTGTGGAGCTATTGATCTCCTTGGCCCCAGGGACTGAGTCTGGGGCAGCTGGAGTCCTCAGGCTGGTTGCCTCTATTGTCCTTGTGATTTGCTGTGTGTGCTAAGTCATGAAAATGGGAAGCTGTGGTTAAGGTAAAGAATATAGGAGAAGGAGCAGATTTTCAAGATGCATCTAAGGGAAAATATCTGGTGGGTGATGGACACATATCTCTGGAGGCCAGGAGAGAGAGCTGGGCTGGAGAGGAAGATACAGAGTCATCAGCAACAGGTAGTTATTAGAAGAGGCTGATAACCATGGTGACCCTAAGGGAAGGACCTTAGTGGCTGGAGAATGAAGACTTCTTCACTGCATAGTCTCTCGTGCCTTTTGATTTTGTTCCATGTGCGTGTTTCACACATCCAAAAATATAAATAGGTGGACAGACAGATATCTGGATGGATGGATGTTAACATTTAACTACCGCTGGAGAGGGAGAGGGTGAAGATGGAGGGGAGTGAGTAGAAAGATCCTCAAGACAGCAGCAGAAAACAAGGCTCAGAGCACAGGATCAGCCTCAGACAGGAAGCGTCTCTGCTGCTGAGCCCAGAGGAGGGAAGAGGGGACGGGTGCAGACCCAGGGAGGTGTGCAGGATGGGTCAGAACAAAGCAGGCAGCAAAACTAGGTCCCACGGGTCAAAACTCGGGGAAAGGTGGGGTCACAGGAAAGAAGTGGAGGCTTGACATGACTGTTGAGAAGAGGAAAGAAGGACAACGGGAAAAGCACAGAATCTTTTTCAGAGCTGAGGGCTCGGTGGAAGTTAGAGACCGTGAATCTATGTGACTTCGGTGTGCGGTCATGTGATTCCCTGCACCTGTGCTCCGTGCCTGGGCGCGGGAGTGGATACCTGGATGCATGATTTGTAGGAAGCCCTGAAATACTGCAGTGTCCCGCCACCTCTGCAACTAGAATAAAAAAATAACGCTACACTGTATCCCAACAAAGTTCTGAGTATCTCCATGATGCCTTTATTTGGCCCATCAAATTATTTCCCAAAAGTTTTAATTTTTCTCAGTTTTTGTGTCCTTGTTTTACTGGGGCCTTAAATGGATGCTACGGTGATTTAGTCATTGGCATTGAATATGGGGGTGGAAAATGAGTACAGTTTTGTTATTTCACCTAGTATTTGGGAAGGAAGGAGGTGACGCAAAGAAGTTGAGGATAATTGCAAGAAAGCCGATGAAGTGATGGACTACAGGGGTCTAGATTGGATAAAAAAGGAAAGTAATAAATAGAAATAAAACAAAATCTCCAGGCCGGGGTGAAATTGAAAATATTTAGCAACCAGTATGGTACAGCTTCCACCAGTTGAAACAGCTGCTGCCTCTCAGAATGGATGAACTGGTAAAAAGAACCTGGTGGGGAACAGAGGACTGCCCCTGGTCCAGACCAGAGAGCGTGTCGTGAGGTCAAAGTGCCAGCAGTGGGAGGAGGGGCAGAGAGACCGAGAGAAAGGAGGCTGTGGGCAGAGGGTGGGCTTGGGGAATTCAGCCCCAGTTCTGGCTGGTGGTCAGGTCACCAGGAGTTGGGCCAAACAGAAGAAGCGCAGAGGCAGCCGGAGACAGAGGGTGTGGGCTCAGGAGTCCGGTGAGCGCTTGGTTTTAACTCGAACTCTTTTTTATTTATTCAGAATTTAGAGGCCCTCTGTGTGGTTCCGGCATTTGGCAGACTGGAGCTGCCAATTCCTCTCCTGATAATGGGCTGTGAAGCAATCATTCTAAATTTGACTCCACTGACTGGTAGCTAGTCCTAAATTTCCCATAACACTTGCGTTATAGAGGGTTTTGTGAAAGAAAATGACCTGATTTTATGCTGTGTTTGTAGTAACTAAGGTCAAGGCACGATATGTTTGATTGACCTTGACCCTGTCACCATTGGACCTTGCCCAGAACACTGGTCCAGAGATTCCAAGACCAGAGCACTGAAAATAATCAGAACTTTGCCGAGTTTGGAGATATCTGCTTATTAACATATCGCTGAGATGATTCATGCATGAGGCTTGTCTAATCTTTTCAGTTAATTTAATACTTCATTTCCTGACTTTTAGAAGCTGACTTAGCCTTAAAAGATGTACCCACCGCTGTACCCACCACAGATGACAACCAGGAAGGTCAAAGAGAGTCAGGTGGTAGGTATATCAGTTGAAAAACAATGCCCTTTTTATCCAAGGCTCAACACTAAATTTCAAAGAAAGGAATTTGATCCCCTGTTGGCAAAAAATGGGAGTCAAGTCTTTCATCACCCTCATCCTAGACTCAAAAATAAGATTATATTTAAAAATCTACTGAAATCTTTGAAGGAAATTACCAGATGTTCATTGAGCACCTTCTGAGTGCTGGTCACTGTGAGAGATACTGGGCCATGCACACATCTGGGTAGGGGCTGCGAGGACATGGAAGGTACATGCCAAGACACGCAATGAACTCAAAAACCCCACGAAACAGGGCGAGACGGGAAAGAAGGCATATGATAACTCACAAGGAAAGGAAAGATCCTTGTAAGGGATGAAGGAGAAAATTTAACACAATCTTGAAATCTAGTTGGGACTGAAGATGGCAGAAGATAACCAAATGGGCACTTATTCATTCAGAAACTCTGCCAGTTCAGTCACACAAGAGGAAAAGGGTCTTAAGATCTGCTGTACAATGATGTGCATATGGTTGACAATACAGTGCTGTACACTTAAACATTTGTTAAGAAGGTAGAGTTCATGCTGTATGTTTTTACCACAATAAAAACAAAAACTGTGCTAGGTGCTGGGGACACAGACAAATGAAGCGTTGTTCTTGCCCTCAAAGTGCTCACCATCCAGCGTGGGAGATATCAAAGCAAGTGGAAACTACACTACTGACAGAGAGAGTCAGGGCTTGATGGGGCCACATAGCCGTCTCCTGGCTGGACTGGGAGTCTTTCAGGAAGACTTCCAGGAAGAGATAAATGGGAGCTGAGTCTAGAAAGATGAGAAGGAATTACTTATACAATTTAGTGAAAAGGAGGTGTGCACCTGGAGGGGTGGGCAGAAAAGAGATTGTGACGAGTACCCCACCAGAGGGAAAAGCGTGGGCAGAGGAGGCATTTCAAGTGTGAAGGCACGACCAGACATTTGAACTTGAGGCAGCATGGTGAAGGGGTGACCAGACGTGTGAACCTGAGGCAGCGGGGTGAAGGGATGGCCGGACGTGTGAACCTGAGGCAGCACAGTGAAGGTGTGACCAGACGTGTGAACCTGAGACAGCATGGTGAAGGGTTGACCAGACGTGTGAACCTGAGG